GGATCATTCTGCTGGTCTTTTCAAGCCCTGACCTTCATCAGCCATTGGATTATTTCACATTGCAAGAAAGGATGAGGGTCAACTTCTCAACCAGGAAAAGATTAACCTCTCCTTACAGGTCAGAGGTCAGAATCTGCTTCAATTGCAGGATTTATGCCCATGAGGAACAGTAGGACGGACCGACCGATAAAACCACTGCTACAGCCTGTTTTAGTGAACAAAAAGCTGGTCTAAAGATCATCAGATATGGACCCAAGAACAAGATTCCAGAAATAAGCAGCTCCTATGAGATTCCTTGAAAACGTGCCTGGACTGATCCGGGGTGGGCTTGGATTGGAGCTGCTTCTCTCATCAAAAATTGACAGATCATTTGGAAAACTCATGGGGGAAGTCTGGGTCACGTCCAGCGAGTAAATGAAACGGATTTAAACTAAATATATCAGGGTTTGTTGTCATTTTCTGAAAGACAAAGGCAATGTTGAACAATGTCTACATTTATTAGAGAAAATTAGATCATTTTTGATTGACTCATTAAGGATTTTTCCAGCACAAATACAAAACAGTCAGAGAGTATTACAGGCATGTGAAAATTCCCTGCAGGCCTGTTGCTGTGTGTGAAAGAAATCACTACGCAGAAACTGTTGCCCCATATCCTTGCTCGCAGCTCACTATTTGTGCAACAAAAGGCCGACATGCAGAGACACGCTGAGCCAATCTTTCTCAATGAGTGCCCTGCCAAACAAGAGGCTTTGAGGATTACGCGTTAATCCTCATCAAACCTAGAAACACTACACGCACTGAACACCACAGCTGGGTGCTAAAACAAGGATTCTTGTCTAATTCAGCTCGTCCAGATCAAACTACATCTCAGGGGAAATAAAGAGATCAATTTGCACAAATAAACATTTCAAGTACAGGTAAATGAAGAAAGTTAGCCTCACTGATTGGTTTTCTAGCTGATGATTTTAACCAAAGTGTGAGGAATGACATGATATACTATCTGAGGACTTGGGTCTTCAAGAGTCTTAAAGGCTCTCTTTTGAATACTTAGGTCTTTAAAAGATTAGATGAAACTCTCTAAAGCATGAAGCTCTTAGGCAGCAGCAACTCGGGATAGTTAGAGTAGGTTTTCTATGACAAACAACTTGCTAATATTAGATCTCCTGACAATTAATAGCTTTCTTCTGTACAAAAACAGATAAAACTATTTCTGCTCAAATCTGTGGCAAACTGATTGTTCTTGTTAAACTTTGATTTGGATTTGAACCTAATCAACCCTGACCCTCAGCACTGGTGCACCACAAAGCTGTGTGGTTGAGGGGGCGGCTTGAAAATGCGTGCAAACGTGCCCTCCCAGGAGCCAAAACAAGTGCTTAAGTGCTCTTTTGGAGGCCAGCAGCATGCTAAAGAGCCCTCAATTACCCTTTGGGATTCAAAAATGCACGCTAAAGTACTCGCTTCAAAACAAACACACATGATGAAGTGCCCTAAAGTGCCATCTTAGGGCCAAAAGCATGCTCAACAGTCTTCAAGTGCCCTCGGGGAGTCCAAAATGTGTGCTAAAGTGCCCTCTTATAAGCCAAAACACATGCTAAAGTGTCCTCAAGTGTGTTCTTAGGATCAAAAAAGCGCGCTAAGCTGCCTTCTTGGAAGCCAATAATGTGCTAAATCCGTCTTGGAAGCCAAAACGCACAAAGTGCCCTATGAGGATCCAATATGCATAATAAAGTGCTCATGCCCGCTCAAGTGCCCTCCCCAAAACTCATGTTAGTGTATCCTCAGGTGACCTCTCGGAAGCCTTGCCACAGGCTAAGGTTCCCTCTTGGGAGACAGCACGCTTATTAAAGTGCCCTCAAGTTCCCTCTCGAAAGACAAAGCATTGGCAAAAGTGTCTTCCACAGTGGTTAGGACACATTTTATTTTACAGAGAGTTCCTCTATATGAAATCATCTCCAGGGCTTCTCCCTTGAGTTTTCTTTAAATCTCCGTCTGCTCATATGGTCAGGCAGCCTGTCAGAAAGACAATGGCGTAAGGGATACGATCCTGCAGCCATGTTTTAGTAAAATGCTAGATTACTGACATTCTGACTGGGTCCTTATTAGTGCCACATCATTTATCACGGGACAGAAGAGTTAATGGCAGGATAGCAAAGTTAGCTCCATGGAAGGAAGGGAAAAAAAAGAAATCAAGGAGAATTTATGCAAGACCAAAGATATGTTTATTGGTTGCTTTTTCAAAACACCTTATATTTACTTTGAATGTACAAAAAAAATATTGAGGAAATATGCCATTTTATGTTGTGTATTTTAAGTATATTTTATGCTAACTCTAACATGATAATATATCATTATAAAAGACTATAAATGAAATGGTTAACACTGTCACCTCTATCACTATACAGGGCGACAGTGGCGTTGGGTGTAGGAGTTTGCCCTGATTTCAAAGAGTTGACGGTTCAAGCTCCGGCTTTCAGTGTCGTTGTGCCCTTAGGCAAGACACTTCACCTACATTGCCTACTGATGGTGGTCAAAGGGCCCGGTGGTAGCTGTGGCTACAATGTAGCTTGCCACCATATGTAGTTTAAAGTGCTTTTGCTTTTTTCAAGTCGACCAGTCGACTTGAAAAAGCGCTATATAAGTACCGGCCATTTATACACAATATCTGTATGTACCATTTATGTAGTTATTCAGTTTCCTGACAGCCACTATCATTCAAAGCTCCTACACATTGTGATAAAGTAGAAAAGATTTAAATAATTCTAATTCTGTGTTGGATCTTCTGTAGAAAATGATAACCAATTTTAACCCTAGTTGGACAATCATTGCTAAACTGCCTTTTAAAAGCAGCAAAGTCCTACAGGAGTAAAAAACAAAACACGGCTTAAGTTTGTTTTTTGTCCAGGAGATGCAGTAAATCTAGTTTCACCTGAACTGATTGTCCATATCGTCTAAAACAGACATATTCTGATCCATAGTCGGTGTGGTCGCCTCCCCCTCAGCTGCTGTTTTTGTAGAGAAGAAGGCCTCCTTGTGACATGATGACAGCACAGCCTTCCAGACTAACTTATGACCAGAAATAGATCTTCTTGTTCTAAAGACATCTTTTATCAGCAACCAGAGAAGAAACAGAGTGGGGGCTATAAGCGACATGCACTGAACTGTCCCTTGCATGTGGTTATAGACATAACACCTCTGCTCTCTTCCTCTCACCATCAAACAAGCTTTTGAAACAAATCTACAGAGTGCAAATTCGCATCACCAAATATGTAGGTCATCACAAGTAGCCTTCAGACCAGAGACAGTGTCTGCAGTGGATTTCCATTGAATTCCTACGCAAACCGCGCAGGTAAGCTGTCATTTTCTTCAATGCAGGCATATCAGTGACAAAGAAACAACCACACCGCAAGGGCTGGGTGACATGGACTCAAAATCTAACCACAATATGGATTGGTTCTATGGTGATAAAACTGCTGATAAAAACACTCTTCATTATTTATTTGAAGCCTTTCTTAGTGAACTTTATAGCCCCAATTTTTCCAATGCCCCAATGGAAATCAAATTAAAAAATACTTTCCTATTTCTTGGTTAGACGATAAATCAAAATTGTTAAAATGACTGGAAAATTTATCATGCTAGTGATAAACAATACTTTAAACGCCAAACTCTACACACAGCATAAGGCTGCCACCAACGCCCTGCCGGAATGTGTTTGTTTTTTTCTAACCAAACCTAAACTTCAAGTAATTTTACCAAATCAAACAGTCTATAAAAGTGCGTTTGTTGTCTCAGTGTAATGCCCTACCTGTCCAGCAGAGGAGCTGTTGTCTCTTGGTGGACGGAAACAATCGGTGCAGGCCATCATCGCCTTCTGCATCGTCAACTTTCTCTTCACTTCAAAACGTTTGGAGTCTTTTTATCGTCTCAGAAACTAACTGAAAGTTTAACAAACGCCCTGATCTGATCTGTTTCCTATGCTAAACCAGAGCTGGGCTGCCAGATGGAAAACAATTAAATACAAAGAAAAATACAATAGATCCTCAAGCGGTGAGTTGGAAAAATCATCGAGAATAAACTTTGTCCTTGATTGACACATGGTGGAACCAATTATTCTGCTGCCGCTGTGTGCTTTAAACTGCTCTGATCTCTGACTTCAGGATGAAAGTTTGCCTTTAGATAAATCAGTAAGGATGGATACATCCATCAAAGGGTCTTCAGATTTAATAAAACAGATAACTGCCAAACAAATATCTCCAAACTAGAAAAATTATTTAAACTTCTTTTTAAATAGGTTTGCCTTTCCCTACCTGCCACCGAGAGAACCATCAAAAGTAAAACATTTTACTGTCAAAGTCAAACAAACCCCTGACAGCAGCAGCAGAATGAGGATTAATCTTCATCATGGTGGAGTTAAAGGACCCTTCCTTGAGTTTAGAACCAGTAAAAACAAAATAGAAGGAGACGTTTCCTTAAATCCAAAGAAAAACTGTGCAGACTGAGTAAAAACAGGAAACACTCAGCTCTGGTTCCCCAGTCTATAAACCAACTGAGCGCTTCTCCTCCTCTCTTGGATTTTTTTCCTCCTCCCACTTTGTCATACTCAGTGGGATTAAAAACACACACACACACACGTTTTCCTCTGCACCATGGGGAATTTGGAGATTACTAAAGCTTCTGGCAGAAACTGAGCTGAAAAAACAGACATGAATTCAGTTTGTCCTCCGTTTACCAATCCATCCATTCATCCATCCATCCATCCATCCATCCATCCATCCATCCATCCATCCATCCATCCATCCATCCATCCATCCATCCATCCATCCATCCATCCATCCATCCATCCATCCATCCATCCATCCATCCATCCATCAACGCGCGTTAGAGATTATCTCAGAGTGAAATCTACTCATTTTGTGCCGCTTTCCCACATCCTCCTTTCTAATCTTCTTACAGGCACATTTCTGCTCCTGCACACCAACACACAGCTGTACTCAAACACTCACAGTGCAGTGCTCCCTGGAATCGTCTTCCCTGTAAACCCTGACTTCCATCCTGCCGTGGTTCTGCAGCCTGCAGTCCACAGAGCAGTCCATTGAAGCTCCAAACGCGCCGTCCTCTGACCTCTGCAAACACAAGCCCCAAACGTTCAGCAATGTGCGGAACGGTTCCCTGCAGGCCGGGAGGAGCAGGAGCTCTCTAACCGACCAGTTATCAGCCCCTGGAAAGGTGGAAAGTGTGTACCTTTGCTATCTGAGTGCTGCAGTGCTTCCTGACATCGTAAGAGTCGACGGTGGAAACATGGATTTTGACTTTAGCCGCCGTGGCAACCACAGCTCGACACTCTGGAGGGGAAAAAAATAATCAAAGGAAAAGAAGTTTGGTGGGTCCTCCGCCTGATATAAACTGTAAAACCACTCATCTGCTCCAACATACCAACGTTAAGAAGCAGCTGAGACACTGTAGTGCCGGTAAGGGCTCCACCTGGTGGCCAGAAACAACATGACATCAGTACTGATCCTTTCTGATTATGTTTAAAGATTCCTCTTATGAGTTTTTGCCTCTTTTACCCAAATAATCAGACATAAACTTTAAAAGCTGACTTCAGAAGCAAATTTAAGAGTAATATCATCTCAGTATAAATCCAGCCATCATTTGTTAGAGAACATTAAAGAACAAGAAGCATCCTGAAGACCGTCAATCACAGCAGACATGTCAGGGAGGAGGTTCTGGAGACGTTTGAAGCAGTTAAGTTCATTTAAACCAGCCGAAACAGAGCCACACAAAGAGAGCATCGATCATAGAAGCAGCCCAGATGCTCCGAGTGACTTTGGAGGAGCTGCAGAGACTCACACCTCAGGTGGGAACATAATTCTGAAGTAAGATTGACATGAAGAAAGGGAGTCTGGTTAGAGGCGGTGTAAAAAAATGGGGAAAAACATCAGGAAGACCCTGAAAGAGAACTGAGGGCTGCCAGACCGAACCAACAAGAACCACAACAGGATAGTTTGGATCAGGGTGCGTTAATGTGTTAGAATGGCCGGGATGGGATGATCAAGAACAACCGAAGACAAGAAAAGTTCTTACTCTGAGAACCTTGTTGGATCCCATCAGACCTAAAACTGATTGAGAATCATAAACAGACAGGAAATCTTTTCCTCTGCTGCGCTGCAAAGAAAAAAAAGGCCAAAAACTTCTATCTTTAGATGCGAAAAGCAGGTAGAGGCGGAAAGGTAGCTGCACCTCCATGATGTTCCAGGTTGTTGTTGTGTTCGCCGTGCTCTGCGGCAGCCTGCGTGCGTGGCTGCTGAGCGTGGCTGTCGATGAGCATCCGCAGGCTGGAGAAGCCTCTCCTCAGCGAATCCATGACGCCGTCTCTCAGTGAGAACAATCAGGACAGCGTCTGGACCGGAGCAACAGAAAAGGGACAAACAGGAGACTTTAAAAGACAACTTTCAACCAACGATTCATTACAAGTAAATATCTGACATGGTTCTAAAAGGGTTTAATAAGTCCTGCAACTTTGAAGATTATACCCTTTATTATTTCAATGGAGATAAAAATTCAAAAGATGGTGCTTGAATCTAGGTTTTTACTTTCTGAACTAACGAAAAAGTACATAAAATGCTCTTTTAGTCCAAATATGACAGTAAAACTAAAATGAAGAGTTTCAGATCCATTTCCATCATGTTGATTTAAACGGTGAAGGAATTCACTTCCCCTTTGACAACATTTAGAGCATATTTTAAAATTTGTAGCACCAAGTGCTTTGAGGTTTTCTACATAAAAACTTAAAAAAAAACACTTTAAAGTTCCTTATATAGGTCTGGTATCTGATAGCAAACTGCTTCCTGGTTTAAGCATCGAAGATGACAAGTAAAAACTCTTTTCAGGCAATAATCTATGTTCCCATTAAACACAGACCGAAGCAGAAGGTAACTCAAAGACAATTTAAACTTACTTTGTAAAAGATTCAGCAAAGATTAAGATGTAGAACTTTAAAGATCAGCAGCTTTAAATCTCTAGGATCTGTAGGGATCCACCTTTGGAACAGTTTACAGTTACAGTACAGCTCTGACCTTTGAGCCTGTGGCGATAAACTGCCACGGTTCAGGTTTTAGTTTTAGTTTTGAAAAGTCACGATGCAGGTCCATCAAAGCTGTCCTTCGCTATGAATGTGCTGTTCTGTGTTTCTGCTACACTGTGATGGACTGGCAGTCCGACCCCACATACTGCTCAGTGACTGCTGGAGATAACCCCGCCCCTTACCGTTGTTTCAAATGTTAGGATAAATAGGAACCTGTTTAATAAAACTAATAAGGGTCTCTAAAACTTCAAACCCTTCAGAGGTCCCAACCTGAGAGAAAAACATGAGCTAGGGCTGCAGAATTCACCTTAATCGCATCGATAATGAGGCTTTAAAATGGTTCTAAAGAACATTCAGTTTTGGCTCCCCCCAGTGGATGAAAGCTGTATTGTTTTGTCTAAATGGAAGACAGCATTTCCCATGAGGAACATCGCATTGTGTGGTAAAATCCTGATCTTTTGGTCGCCTGCAGATGGATTGAACTACATCTCTGTTTCCAGTGGCTGTGTGAAAGATAAACAGCGATGAGGTAATGAATCGAACTGATGTAAGTCGACGTATAATAATAAAAGTTATGACAACATTTTATGAATAGGGATGGAGCGGTTTGTGAAAACCGTCCGAACCGTTCGGTTCGACTGTCTCGGTTCGGTTCGCGTGTGTTGCGTTCGGTTCATGCGCTGCTCCTTTTTCTCATAGGCGAAGCGTTTACACTCCAGAGCAGAAGGTGGCGGTACTGCGACCAAAGCCAACCACCAGTAGTAAACAAGAAGAAGAAGTGAAGCAGCGTAGCCGGATGTAGCAGGGGAAAAAATCAGTTGTTGGAGAATTGTGTGGGTATGGCGAGTGGGAAAGAACAGGAGTTGGAAGACGCGCCAGCAGCACTTTATAGGTCTGCTGTATGGGACCACTTTGCATTTAGAGTGACCTACGATGACGGCGGGAAGAAAGCTGTGGATAAAAGTGCAACAGTGTGCAAGCATTGTGCAACACGTTTTGTTTACGCTAACAGCAACATGACCAACATGTCAGGCTAACAATCAACTTATACCGAACCGAAAACCGTGACCACGAAACCGTGAACCGTGAACCGAACCATGGATTTTGTGAACCGTTCCATCCCTATTTATGAAGGTTGAAAAGTTACTAATTGTTGGCTTAAAAACAGCTATAAGGACAATGCTTTTTTAATTGATCTTTGTTATATGAATTGAACTTTAGGAACTAATGTGAAAATCAATTCAGAATTGAAAAATCGATTTCTTTAACTCAGCCCTAGCTGTGCCACAGATGAACTATAATCTGTTTGCAACACAAAGATGGCGGCTGACACAACAAGTTTGTTGGGTTATGTCTGTTGATCTTGCAAACACAGTAAAATTCTTCTCCATCTTCAGCAAATCTACGCAGGCTGATCCCAGTGCATTATGGTCCAACAGCTTCCACCCTATTACAAAAAAAAACATGTGCGATGGCCGCATGTGCAACCACACAACAAATGGTCTGGTAATTTTTTCATTAAATCTATTTTACTGTACTCTATTTCATTCTTTTTTTTTTTTTACTTTGATTTGGCATTGGTTAACTACTTGGGTGCACACATTTAGTAGACTGATTTTGTCATTTCTTGCTTGGTTTTCTTTACTTGAATATATTTTTCATTTGAGTAGCCAGTTCCTGGGAGGCTTTAATGAGTGAAGCCAGTAAAGGAAAGGAGGCCCCAGCTGCAAAGGATCTCCTCATTGACATGGAGGCCTAGTTGGACTCTTCCACTTGCATTTAGAAGGGGTGTAGAAAGGGTTTAGGTTTCTGTATTTGGTTTTGTTTTCTATAATTACATTTGGAAAGTTTAATATTTAAGTCATCTTCCTCATAGGTTGCTGATTGAGTATGGTGCTGATTAGTTTGGTCTTTTGTTGTAGTTTTCTTTAGGAAAATATATTTTATGTTTCCCTCTTGTTTCAAACTGGTATGATCAAGTGTATATATGTGTTTCCCTTGTGTGTCAGTGAGGTAGGTCTTTTCCTGTGTCAGGTTTGGATTATGCTAATTTTTGTCATTTGTTTTCCTTGATGGGCCCGGTCTTGTTTGAAGTTTGAACTTTATTTTTTGCCAAATAAATGTGTTACCATTTTTTCATCAATGATTTCCCTGTGCTTCTCTGATTTTTTGGCTCGGTCACTCACAACAAGGCTGACATGAACTAAAATAAAACAATTCAACTCAAAGATTGAAAGACAATAGGGGGCACAACAAATTCTAACAGAACCATTTAAAGGCTGTTTATTCTTTGAAAAATGGACTTGCCTCCAAAGTGTAGCCTGAGGGCCATTTGTGGCCCCAAACTTTGAGTAATAAAATGGTACAAAACAAACACCCTGTCTACTTTTAAGGCTAGGCTTAAACCTTTACATTTTGATAAGGCTTAGTTAGAGTGACTCAGCTATCTCTGTAGTTCTGCTGCTCTAGGCTTACACTGCTGGAGGACATAGGGACCCCTTTTTAATCATTCTATCTCTATTATCGCATTCTGTTGAATTTGTTAGTTCAACATCATTCTCTATCTGCTTATTCTTAAAATGGTAGCTTCATCTGGCCTGTTCCTGTTTTACTGTGACACACACACTATATAAATAAACTGGGTTGAACTGAACTGAATGACAGTTCTGGTGACACAGACATCTGAATTTTATTTTATACAAAAAGGATCCGAGAAATTTTGCGACTAACTAAATTGGTGACTTTATTGACCAAGGTAGTTAAATACGCTAAGTGTTTTAGACACAGACCTCTATCTGGTTCTGTTGAAATATTAGAGCCTTTTCTTTTAAACCAAGAAGACGGAAAACATTTGATCCAAAGAAGTAATGAAAAGGTGAGTCTTTCATTACTTCAGACCAACATGTGGTAACCTCTTTTTGTTACAGTAATCTATAGATCTATAACAATCAGAATACTTTGTCTCATATAATGCTGACGTTTTAGTATAAAGGGGAGCAGCTAGTATTAAAAATCTCTTAAACCTTTGTTGTTTTGGGGTTTTTATGACAGAAAACACCAGATGTTAGTCTGGACTGTGATTTATTTACCTAACATTAAAGTTTTGGACACCTGAGCTTCCGTACATGTATGGATATAGTCAGTGGTCTAGTGTCACTCTGTGTTATACTCACAAGAAGTCACCTGCCATCCCATGGAAGCTTCCTGACATCACATCTCTGCCCTGAAATGATGAGCCAGAGTCTTTAAAAAGTCACACATTTTTATGTAAACAGCAGGTTTGCTGTCAGTCTGAGCTGAAATGAATGCAGATGGACTCTATACAGGAGCAACAATGTCCCAGGATTAATCTGATCCTTTATTTTACGAATCGGGAAGCTGGCCGGACAGCCGGGATGTTCCAGGAAGTCAGGCTGGACTGAGTCAGAGGATGGAAACAAACAGAGGTGGAAGAGGAGAGAAGAGGAACAGGAAGAGCAGCAGAGGAAGTAAATTATATCAAGGAAACTAAAGAGAAGAACAAAAATAGAAATTATTTTGTAACCAAAACATAACTTTCTGCACATAAGCAGATCTTTTTTTTTTTTTTTTACATAACTGGAGAGGAGAATTAGAAAAAAACACTACCTGGTTTGTTCCGGAAAGACAACAATAATCCAGCTTATATCAGAACCTATTTTATGATCCAAAACAGAAATGGATGAAGTTTTTATTTACCTGAGAAAACAGTAAATTTCAGAAATCAGCTGAACCTTTGTGGAATCAGACCGACAGAGGATCATAATAAAAAACTAAATTAATTATTTTATTCAAAAAAAACTATTATTTAGATTGTTTTTGTTGTTTAACTTTTTTTGGAAAATAGGAAAAGATTAGATTTTTATCATTCTGAGAGCAACATTTCAGACTTTAACCAGAATGAAGAAGGAAAATAGATGGAAAATAGATAATTAGGGAAAAAACAATTAGTTAATAAACAAATAGGGTTAGAGACTGAACAATGGTAACATAATAAACAATAATATAGAAAAAACACCAACAAATAAGGAATTGTTCAAATTAAAGTGTACAAAATTAGCCTTTATATTAGAAACATTTTAGATGGAAAAAGGTCAAATCAAACAAAACAAAAGTTTAAAACAATATTGAAAATTAACAACAGTGAAAAACAATAAAGAAATCTGTGATTTTTTTAAATGAGGGACAGAACTTGTCTGCTTGATAAAGTATTGAATATATAAAGAAAGTACACGAATCAGGCATTAATAGAGGCATCTACAGGTGCTGGTCATAAAATTAGAATATCATGAAAAAGTAGATTGATTTCAGTAATTCCATTTAAAAAGTGAAACTTGTATATTATATTCATACATTACATACAAACTCATATATTTCAGATGTTTATTTTGTTTAATTTTGATGATTACAAATGACAACAAATGAAAATCTCAAATTCATCATATCAGAAAATTAGAATATTGTGAAAAGGTTCGAAATTGATGGCCCCTGGTGCCACACTCTAATCAGCTAATTAACTCAAACCACCTGCAAAAGCCTTTAAATGGTCTTTCAGTCTAGTTCTATAGGCTACACAATCATGGGGAAGACTGCTGACTTGACAGTTGTCCAAAAGACGACCATCGACACCTTGCACAAGGAGGGCAAGACACAAAAGGTCATCGCTAAAGAGGCTGGCTGTTCACAGAGCTCAGTGTCCAAGCACATTAATAGAGAGGCGAAGGGAAGGAAAAGATGTGGTCGAAAAAAGTGTACAAGCAAGAGAGATAACCGCACCCTGGAGAGGATTGTGAAACAAAACCCATTCAAAAATGTGGGGGAGATTCACAAAGAGTGGACTGCAGCTGGAGTGAGTGCTTCAAGAACCACCACACACAGACGTATGAAAGACATGGGTTTCTGCTGTCGCATTCCTTGTGTCAAGCCACTCTTGAACCACAGACAGCGTCAGAAGCGTCTTGCCTGGGCTAAAGAGAAACAGGACTGGACTGCTGGTGAGTGGTCCAAAGTCATGTTCTCTGATGAAAGTAAATTTTGCATTTCCTTTGGAAATCAAGGTCCCAGAGTCTGGAGGAAAAGAAGAGAGGCACTTCATCCACGTTGCTTGAAGTCCAGTGTAAAGTTTCCACAGTCAGTGATGGTTTGGGGTGCCATGTCATCTGCTGGTGTTGGTCCATTGTGTTTTCTGAGGTCCAGGGTCAACGCAGCCACATACCAGGAAGTTTTAGAGCACTTCATGCTTCCTGCAGCTGACCAAGTTTTTGGAGATGCAGATTTCATTTTCCAACAGGACTTGGCACCTGCACACAGTGCCAAAGCTACCAGTACCTGGTTGAAGGACCATGGTATCCCTGTTCTTAATTGGCCAGCAAACTCTCCTGACCTTAACCCCATAGAAAATCTATGGGGTATTGTGAAGAAGAAGATGCAATACACCAGACCCAACAATTCAGAAGAGCTAAAAGCCACTATTAGAGCAACCTGGGCTATCATAACACCTGAGCAGTGCCACAGACTGATCGACTCCATGCCACGCCGCATTGCTGCAGTAATACAGGCCAAAGGAGGCCCAACTAAATACTGAGTGCTGTACATGCTCATACTTTTCATGTTCATACTTTTCAGTTGGCCAACATTTCTATAAATCCTTTGTTTTTATTGGTCTTCAGTAATATTCTAATTTTCTGATATGATGAATTTGAGATTTTCATTTGTTGTCATTTGTAATCATCAAAATTAAACAAAATAAACATCTGAAATATATGAGTTTGTATGTAATGTATGAATATAATATACAAGTTTCACTTTTTAAATGGAATTACTGAAATCAATCTACTTTTTCATGATATTCTAATTTTATGACCAGCACCTGTAAATCCCTGAGGACCCCCTGACTCCATTCTTCTTGCAGGCCTAGCCAGCTCTGGTAAGCTTATGTTACAATTTAGCTTTTTTTCTTCTTTTTATTCCCAGGCTGTGCATCAACCACATTGTATGTAAACATTACAACTAACACTCTGTTAGGTTTGAAAAAAAAAATAATAATAACAAAATCATTATGGTTTATTGCAAATAATTGCAGGTACTTCTGATCAGTTTAGCATCACATAAATGGAGATAATATGCAGATCTTTCGACTCCATCAGATGTCACCAGCATCAGGGTTTTTAACGCGTCGACTCTCTGAGACTTTGATGACAAATCTTATTAAATCTGAAGTTAACTCTTTTTATTGTATTTTACATAAAGGGTATTTCTTCCCATCCATCAAGAATTTATTTCTATATATTTTATGTTTATTTTTAGCAGCTTGTTCCATTGTTCTATAAAGTTAAAATTGTAAATTATTTTTTTGTCCATCAATAATAATAATAATTCAAGAATTTTCATGGAAAAAGAAATGGAATAATTGTTATTCAATATTAATAAATATTTTATCTTCTTTATATGCCATAAAAAAAAAAACAGGGACAAACTGGCGAGAATGTTTCAGGGAGACGATCCGACTTGCCCTAGATGTAAACAGGTGCCAGCCAGCACATCCCATATGTTTTGGTCCTGCCCCAGACTCAAAGAATTCTGGATTGAAATCTTTAAAACTTTCTCATCTGTCTACAGGAAAGATATTGAACCGGTCCCTCAGGTAGCCATTTTTGGTGTGGCACCGGGAGGGATAGAATTAACAACAGCTCAAAGGAAGGCAATGGCATTTTCTTCACTGTGGGCCAGGAGATTGATCCTATTTAATTGGGTAAAGGCAGCACCACCAACTCATAAACGATGGATAGAGGAGGTAATGGCACACCTAAAGCTAGAACATCCTCGATTTACGTCACAGGGTACCATTAAGAGATATTTCAAGATTTGGCAGCCTTTTATTTCATATTTTGAATCCAAGGTCCAATCTGCTTCAGCATAATCAGCAGTTTTTTTGTTTTTTTTTTCCTCTGTTTGGCTGAATTATCATCATTATGATTGTTATTATGCTTATGTTTTTGGTTTTCAATCCACGGATGTCTGGAACATGGGTTGTATGTGCGGGTGTAGTAATTGTCTTGTCGATAGTTGTTTTTTTGGTGATGTTGGTGTGATGTAATTGTGGAGTCTTTTTGTTTTGTTTTATTTTGTATGCCCTGGGCTGTTTATCTGTTTGTTTAATATGAAAAACTAATAAAAAAAACAATTTGATTATTCTTTATATGCCATATTTATTCACACTGTCAGTTTTTATGGTTTAAATATGTGTTTTGTTTCTCGAGAAGCTTTTGTTTGTAAAAATTTTAACTTTCTGAAGTTGGTGATTATGTTTATCCTTTATTTTTTTTTTTACTTTTGCAAATGAAGTTATGTTTTCAGGAGAGTTTGTTTTACTGCCTGAATACAGAATATATGTAAAGGTTATGGACGGATTTTCATGAGACTTTTATCAGAGGTGTTTCTTATGCCAAGAAACCATCCATACAATTTTTGTGAGGATTCAGATCATAATATGGATACAGATTTTATAAAGTAAAAGGGAAGGTTGTTGGTTTGTTGGCAGGATCAATTAGAAACATATTAACAAATTTAGAGGAAAGTTTTTACCAAAGGTGCACCTTATGATAGATTTAAATTTGTATATGCAAGTCAAAATACGGGGCAGAACTTGCTGCTTGGCGAACATCTGCTCTATCCGAGTGCATTTCTAGATATTTATTTTTTTCTAATCATTTAGACAAAGTTCTAGTTCAGGTCCAATAAAAATGTAATTTTTCAAAATTTGCTGAAACTGGGAGCCTTTACCTTATAATATTTACATTTCCAAAGCATTATTTTTAATATTTGAAAATGTAAGCTCTATAAACAATGATGTTTTTGGGGGAAAATTAAACTTATTGTGTCCCTGAAGTATAGTGGAATAGATGAGAGTATAAAAGAAAATATCAGATCAGAACAGAAACAAATATTAGAAGCAGAAACAATAGAAGAACAAAACAGATAATAGAACAAATCTGTCTCAAATAGAGTGATGTAGAATACAACAGAACAGAGTAGAATAGATACACACACAATCAGACAGATCATAAATGAGTAGATCAGAATAGAAAAGCCTAGATTAGAATAAAATCGATAATGGATCATGATATGATAGATCTGATAAAAAGAAGCAGATAAAAACTTAAGAAGTGGAATAGAAGAAATGAGAACACAAGGTGACTGACCTGCAGTTTTCCGTCCAGCTGACGTCTCTAGATGTTTGGTCTCTAGATGTTTGGTCTCTAGATGTTTGGTCTCTAGATGGGTTCATCAGGAGATGGAGGTTCTTCCTCAGCTTCATCCTCTTTACAGCTCCATTATAGATTTGATTATTTCCTACATAAAGAAAGAACCATGTTTTAATGTCAGTTTAGACAGAGATAGGAGACAGTTTTCACCAGAGTCCTCATCATTCAATCACAACTAAAACCAATGTTCCGGTCTGAGGATCTAAAATGCTCTGCAGTTCTATATCAAGCTGATGAATGGAGATCGGTATTTTTAGATCAGAGCTTGGAGTCGATCAAAGCTTGATGGCCTCCATTTCTCCTTCAGCTACTTCAGAAAAAACCACAAGTTCTCAGAGGGAATAAAATCAGACCACAGATCCATTATTTCAAAGTTCTGATCGTTAGAAGATGTTATCGTGTTTCACTTGTTGCAGGAAGTCGGTTCTATAGGAACATTACTGGAACATTGATCACTTAACAATTAAGTCTTCAGAAATCCTTCCAATAAGTTATTACATTAATATCCAATACATTAATTCTCACTTTCATACAACACATAAGTGAGTTCACAACTCACAAATTTAAATAGAGCATTCTTAAGTAATAAATAAAAGATGTTGATAATAATAATAACAACAATAATAATTGAACTTTATTGATCACATTTGAGAAATTTCCCTCTGCATTAAACCCATCCCCTTGGGGAGCAGCGGGCTGCCATTGTGTGGCAGCAGTGTGGGGTTAAGGGTCTTTTGCTCAGGGACCCAGAAGGGCAGTCTGTGGCAGTGGGGCTCAAACTCGCCACCTCAGGATACCAAGCTTTATGCCCTAACCACTGGGCTGCCACTCCCCCCAGCTGCTTTACTATTCAGTTCATGTAAATTCAGCAGGAAATGACTACAGTAACTGATGGCATTATAAATAACCGTTCTCTTTAAAGCATTTGATTTTGAACATGGTAATATCATCTGACCACCATCAGCTGACCTTGTCACATAACAATGAAGCTGATCACATCTGAAAAGCAGAGGTGTTAAATAACAAAGTACAAATACTTCTTTACTGTGCTTAAGTACACTTTTTAGGTATCTATACTTTACTCCATTACTTATTTTTCTTGCTACTTCTGACTTCTACTCATTACATATTCACACAAGTATCTGTACTTTCTATTCCTTACATTTTTAAAACAAACGTTACTCGTAACTCTTGGCTTCGGTTTAATATTTATAAATATTTATTTCTCGTCATGTGCGCCATCTAATGCAGATCATTGGCTCCATCCACATCTAGTGAAAACTGGTGTAATATGATGAGTCATATAACGCAAACACTCATTGGTTAGCTAAAGGAAATCATCAGAAGCAAGCAGGTGTTCTTCAAACTGCAATCGTGAATTTTCTATGCCATGCTACAATGGATTCAGAAAAAGATGTTGAAATGTCTCAAAGGTCGAACACAGGCGAGAGAGATGGAGACCAACAAGACCTCCCTCATCCTTGGCTCTATCTCAAAGAATTTTTAGAAATAGTCGAAAAATTGAGCTTTTAATTCATATAGTGGCATCTGGCTGTTTTTTTTTTAAAGGTTACTTTATACTTTTATACTTTAAGTAGTTTTTGGAGCGGTTACTTTTTCACTTTTACTTGAGTAAAGAGGTCAAATTTATACTTCAACTTTCCTATTTTTAAACTGCAGTGTCTATACTTCTACTAAAGTAACTGTTAGGATAATTATCTCTAAATTATCTCTAAAGTCATCATTAAATTCATTCCCTTTAAATCATCTGTAGTCCAAATGTTTATTCAGCAGATTGTTTCAGAGTCTATTTAAAAACATTAAACATATCTTACCTTTCAATGCCATGTTGAAAGTTATCTATAACAGAATGTATTTAGCCTGAACATCCTATAGATGTTTCATCTCATTATTTTGTGAATATAAACTCAAATTACAGCAACTAATATAATTCCATTTAAGGATGGCCGATCTACAGGTTTACACATTGTAAATTAAATTCATGGACAACCTAAAGAAAAATGTTAAAACTATTTTTACATCACAGCATTTTAAATTAATTCTCTCCCCATTTAAAGTGATTAAAGTTGACTTAGTAGCTTTGAGTGTTAGTGTATGAGAGAACCTCATTCCCATGTGGACTCCTGTGTGGCAGGCAGCCAATACCAAGGTGTAATAAACTCACACATCTTCAGTACTTTTGACACCACTGCTGTAAAGTTGGTTAAATAAGAAAAATAAGGTTGAAAAGAAAAGACAGTGTTTGCAATTTTCCTAATTTGCACAGAAAAAATATTTGCTGCTTTTCCTTTTTAAATTCCCATTTAGATGCATGATTTAGTTTGAAATCACTGCCTAAATCCTGATACCTTACTGCTGATAGCAGACGAATGCAATGATAAACCATTCATCAACTCTAATCAGATTTAATCTCAATGTTTAACCTGGAAAAACGTCCTGATCTGTTTCTCTTCACACCTGAATCCAATCAGCTCAACCTTCGACTAAACTAATAACAGTCTGCCTGCATTGAATGAATGGGAACAACTGAACAGGGCTTCAGTCCTGATGCAATTATTGTTACTTTCACATTAACACCTAACTTCAAACAACTTCATTAACCAGATATAACATCTGCATGTGCACGGAAAGCATAGGAGCGTTTAAAGCTGAGCGTTAAAAGTCACTAATGTAATAAATTAGCTGAAACGCAATGAATTTCCTGTTTTATCGTGGCAGTAATAACCGCTGATAGTTAATAGTTAACGTTAATTAGCTTTTAACACCGGGAAAACCGATTCAAAACGTGATAATGCGTAACAGACGTAGCATATAAATATTCACAACTTCACTGCCTGGCGAATAAAGAAGTTAATTTTCGATTACTTACACTTTTAAAGGCGTTAATTGTGTCATAGCCAACTTTTCCGCTAGCGGTTAGTTTGTTTGGACTTAAGACTGTAGTTAAAAAGGGAAGTATCGCGAGAGTTCGGATTTCCTGGCTGGATAGTTTAGACTCAGGCCACAAGAGGGCGCTCAATTACAAAACTTTGAAATGTTAAAGCAACGGGTGTGAACATGAATAATGGATTATTTTTCTGTTTAAATCTGCTTTAAGTTTTTTATTGTTATTTTTTCGTGTGTGTTTTTCTAATAGATTATTTATTTATTTAAATATATATATATATATATATATATATATATATATATATATATATATATATATATATATACAGTGGGAATTTCTGTTTAATATTTTATGGGTTTTCTGAGGCCTTTTGTGCTTGTTTGTGCCACAGGTTTAAACTAAAAGAGGACAAAATGCTTCCAGTAGTTCCATAACACCAAAATTTCCCCATTATGGGAAAACAAAGGGATCTTCTATTTTATTCATTCCATTCCATTCCATTCTATTCCATTTCATTCCATTCTATTCCATTCTATTCTGTTCTATTCTATCCTGTTCCATTCTATTATGTTCCATTTAATTCCTTTTTATACTATTTTATTCTATTCTATTTCATTCCATTCAATTCCATTCCTTTCTATTCTATTCTATTCTATTCTATTCTATTCTATTCTATTCTATTCTATTCTATTCTATTCTATTCTATGCAATTTCATACCATTCTATTCTGTTCAATTCCTTTCCATTCTATTCCCACGTGGTTGAATTTTTTAATAGAGCTAGAGAGGCTTCTAAGGAATGGATTGAGGCAGGTAGACCAAGATCAGGGCCTGTCTTTGAACATAAAAAGTATACCAATGCCCAATATAAGTATGCTGTGCGTTATATTGGTAAAAATGAAAGAGCAATGAGGTCTGACTCAATGGCCAGAAAACTCTTCTGTAACAATACCCAAGGCTTCTTGAAAGAAGTTAGAGGTATGACATCCTACAAAACATCCCTCCCATGTTCGGTTGATGGCATATCAGGCACTGCTAACATTGTGGAGCTGTGGCGCCAACATTACAGCAGATTATTTAATTGCATCCATAGTGAACCATGCACTGCAAATAATGTTGACCATATAGATGAAATCCTGCCTTATGAGGTTCATAAAGCTATTTCCAAATTATCTAACAATAAAGCCACTGGGCTGGATGGAGTCTCAGCTGAACATTTAAAGTATGCAAATGCAAGGCTAGCTCCTCTACTTTCCATTTGTTTCACATCGTTTTTTATTCATGGTCTTTTACCTGACTCTATTTTAAGTGTCCTGTTTGTACCCGTCATTAAAGATAAAACTGGAAACATTGGCAATGCTGATAATTACCGTCCGATAGCGCTGGCCAGCATAGTTTCAAAAATTATTGAATCAATCCTGCCTGACAGGATTTTAGAGGTTATCAAGTCTACAGATAACCAGTTTGGTTTTAAGGCTAGGCTGGGCACAGATATGTGTATATATGCTCTAAAAGAGATTACTTATAAATATAATAAGCAGAACTCTTCAGTGTTTATGTGTTTCCTGGATGCATCAAAAGCATTTGATAGGGTAAACCACAGAAAACTATTCACAAAACTGACACAAAAAGGAGTACCAGAGTATATTGTTCGTATTTTGAAGTACTGGTATACTCAGCAAACACTGCAGATTAAATGGGGGGAATGTGTCTCTGCTCCATTTAAAGTTAGTAACGGGGTGAGGCAGGGCGGGATTTTGTCCCCAGTTCTCTTTAACTTGTATATGGATGAACTGTCACACAAGTTGAGAGCTTGTCACACTGGTTGTGTGGCTGGTGACTCGGTACTTAATCACTTGATGTATGCAGATGATTTAGTAATATTTAGTGTGATCATGATCTGTAGGAGTAAGAAAGATAAATCTACTGAGTTTCCAGATTTTTTGCTGTCAAATACTGTGCTGGGTGTAACAAATAAAACCAAGTATCTTGGGCACATCATCACAGAAAATCTATCAGACGATGATGATATTTGCAGACAATGTAGATTGTTGTATGCTCAAGCTAATACCCTTGCACGTAAATTCGGTTCATGTACTGATAAGGTCAAAGTGGAACTGTTTAATGCATATTGTACCTCTCTGTACACTGCTCACCTGTGGACTACCTATAGAAAAGTCAACCTGCAAAGGCTGCAGGTGGCCTATAATGATGCTATGCGGTTACTTTTGAAACGTCCAAAATATACCAGTGCAAGTGAGATGTTTGTCACAGCAAGAGTTAATACCCTACAAGCTGTTCTACGAAAGTTAATGTATAAGTTTATTTGTAGGTTAAATGCATCTGAAAACGATATTATTTTGTCACTTACTGATACCACACGTAGTGCAATCCGATATCAGTCTAAGCTGTGGAGCCACTGGTATTCCTGTCTTCTTAAAGATCCTATTTAATCGATAATGGTACTTGTATTGTGTTTTTTATCATTAACTACTTTTATTTTATTTTTATGTATGTATTTATTGGACCATGAGTCCGGAATAAAGTTTATCTATAATATAAAATCAATCTATCTATCTATCTATCTATCTATCTATCTATCTATCTATCTATCTATCTATCTATCTATCTATCTATCTATCTATCTATCTATCTATCTATCTATCTATCTATCTATCTATCTATCTATCTATCTATCTATCTATCTATCTATCTATCTATCTATCTATCTATCTATCTATCTATTCCGTTCCATTCTATTTTATTCCGTTCCATTTCATTCTATTCTATTCTATTCTATTCTATTCTATTCTATTCTATTCCATTCCATTCTATTCTGTTCTATTCTATTCTATTCTATTCTTTTCATTTCATACTGGGCTAAAACAGTTTGACCTTGTTTAATTGATAGTTTTCCATTTCATCTTAAAAAAACTAAACTCACAAACGCTATCAGGGCTTCAGATATATTTTGCTAATGTAATTATAAAAATATAAATTGTCATATTTTTCACATTTGAGCTTTTTGTTTGTTTGTTTGTCTGTGTCGCGTGCTGCTGCCACTGTGGGTCAGATCACAGCTGTGAAAGAGTAATCCAAATGTTTTTGGTTCTATTCAGTTTATTAAACTAACTAGTTTGGAACTAAAAAGAGAGCCAGCCCATTTAACCCCTATGAAACAACATCAACGTCACTCCAACGCCCCACCGTCGACCTTTGAATACCACCGCCCCTCCGGTGAGCCCCAGACAGTAAACCGAACGCTCTCTGTAAACAAACCGTTTAGAAAACACTTCCGGGGATGTGTTTGACTTTTTTTTTCTCCCTACTTTGTTCTGAACGCAAACTTTGTGTATAAGTCAGTTAGAAGCTGTTAGACATGAGGAGCTGAAAGGAGGGCGAGGAAAACCCGACAGGCAGCGAACCGAGGAGAGGAACTATAGAAGGGAGGAGCCGCTTTTTAACAACCCTGCAGGTAAAAAAAAACTCTGAACTGTCCGTTTGTCCTGGTTGTGTTGCTGCTGTTTCGCTTAAATGTGAAAACATTCACTCATATTATATATATATTTTTTTTAATTAGTATTTTTACTTTTTTTGCGGGTTGAACTGTTAAATTGATGTTTATGTGGAAGTTGAGTCCATAAGTGAAACGAACGCACCCTTCTGGAAACTTGATCATAACTGTTGTTCTTCATTCATACATGTAGTTTTCATCTTAGCTCTTTATGGATCAACTTTATTGATAGTTAGACACATAATTGTCTTATATGAGGTGATTTTTGCAGATTTATTTAAAGGTAAACTGTCTTTGCTGCAGGCTGCTTCTCACAAACAGTTTCTCTGTGTTTTTATAGTATCTAAATATGATCTATCTGCAGGATATTGTGAAAATAGGCGCAAAACAAAGACAAAAACAGAAGTGAACAGTGAAATTCAGCGTGCTGTGCTTCCTGCTGAGCATAAGGCTGAATAAAGAGCATACAGGTGTGTGTTTAAAGTTTCCAAGCATTATTGAAGTTAACACAGCTTCTATGGTTTAGTTTAGTAGCTCTGTGCGGAAGTCCAAACATCTTCCGCACAGTTTGTGCTGTCAGGTATGTGTGCTGCACATGCTTGCTGCAATACAATAGATCTTTTCACCAGGAATAGTTTGTAGGTCAAAGGTCAGAGTTTTCAGTTTTATTGGCTCATCAGAGATGAGGTCAGAGCTCAGCAAACATACAGTAAAGTCTCTTCTTTATAACCGCTGACAGGAAGGTGCATCATATCAGGCCACTTCAGCAGCATCAGGTCTTTAAAAGAGGTCTTAAAAACTGATTCAAAGCTTTCTAAGGAAAACCAGTTGATTTGCATCGACTCATTGACTCGTATGCAATCTCTCACACTAAGCATGCTTGTAGCGACAGTGGAGAGGAAAAACTCCCTTTTAACAGGAAGAAACCTTCAGCAGAACCAGGCTCAATGTGAGCGGCCATCTGCCGAGGCCGACTGGGGTTCAAGGAGACAGAAGCAGAGATACAAAAAGCAGCTGTAAAAGGCGGCCCTGTCCAGGAAACACACTCTCCATGTCAGAGGATGGAGAGAGCACATCCAGCCAGTCACGATCAGAGAAACAGGACAACACAGAAAAAACAGGCCGATCTCCAACATCTATAAAGAAAGGTGTTGATGCCAGCAGCACAGCTGATATTTATCTCCAGGATGGTGTCACAGAAAAAAAAAAAACAGATGAAGCTACTATGAGAAAAAGCAGAGAGAGCAGAACGTTAGAGATTGAACTAACAGATTCTGCACATTGGGAAAATAGAGATAAAATGATGAAATAGGGGTCCCTATGTCCTCCAGCAGTCTAAACCTATAGCAGCATAACTATAGAGATAGCTCAGGATAACCTGAGCCACTCTAACTATAAGCTTTATCAAAAAGGAAAGTTTTAAGCCTAGCCTTAAAAGTAGACAGGGTGTCTGCCTCACGGACTAAAACTGGTAGTTGGTTCCACAGGAGAGGAGCCTGAGAACTAAAAGATCTACTATTACTAATAAACCAAACTTTTTTTTTTTTTATCATTTTATTTCCAAAGAGAGAACTGCTCTGGTATTATAACTTGAAGGAATAGTACACCCAAAACATGATTAGCCTTCATTTTCTACTCACCCCCATGCTGAACAACACTCTGGAGTACTTTTTTGATATCTCAAATGCATCTGGAGATCTGGGAGGCTTCTTGCTGTCTGCTGACATTCAAATAATGGAGGTCTATGGTGCCCGAGACAGAAAGGTCCATAAAAGTCCACAAAAAACGTGTCAATATTCCTCCATACTGCTCGTCCAATGTATTCCAAGTGTCCTGAGTGGGTAGCGTCCATAATTTACTCGAAACGAAGTCATTTAGAATGTTTTTAGAGCATAAACAGTAGAGTATAGGACTCCCTAAAAGCGCGCGCATGCACGTTCACGACGCTATGGAAGCCGGCAGACCAAACCAGATGAAAGTGCGCATTCAGCGTCTGCTCTTCCAATAATGCAAGCGTAGAAGAAGAAATGTGCCGTTTACCTGTGCAAAGAAAGAAACAACGAAAGAAAAATGTCTGAGGACTTCAGTGTTGAGGAAGAGCATGAGTTCTTTGCCGAGCTGAATGCGCACTTTCATCTGGTTTGGTCTGCCGGCTTCCGTAGCGTCGTGAACGCGCTCGTGCGCGCTTTCAGGAAATCCTATACACTACTGTTTATGCTCTAAAAACATTCTAAATGATTTCGTTTCGAGTAAATTCTGGATGCTACCCACTCAGGACACTTGGAATACATTGGACGAGCAGTATGGAGGAATATTGACACGTTTTTTGTGGACTTTTATGGACCTTTCTGTCTCGGGCGCCATAGACCTCCATTATTTGAATGTCAGCAGACAGCAAGAAGCCTCCCAGATCTCCAGATGCATTTGAGATATCAAAAAAGTACTCCAGAGTGTTGTTCAGCATGGGGGTGAGTAGAAAATGAAGGCTAATCATGTTTTGGGTGTACTATTCCTTTAAAGGTGTAGAGGAAGATCTGTTATTTCCGGGTGGATCATCAGAATAAGTGGTCCTCCTAATTGTCAATCATTCTGGTGATATGTTTTAAGGCCGTCCTACGTGCTCGTCCTGTTAGATATCTTTTTCTGCGCATGCACACTTTCCGGCGTATATGGTAGGGAGCTACGGTTTCAGACAGATATTGAAGCTCACCTTTCTCACCGCCGTTCTTTGAAAATAGCCGAGGGGTTCCACGAAGTGCATGAGAAGAAAAGAATGGCTTCAGAAGAGGCAGATATATCCCAGAATGCTTTGCATTGAGAACTAAGCTACACAGCTCCTTGTGCGTGGAATTGTTTTTACAAAAATACTAGAAGCTGACTGAGTTTTTATCTTTAAATGCTTTTTAGTTGAAAGTGAAAGAATTTGAAGTAGCCTCAATGATCTGTAATTGTTTTACTTTATGTTTTTTTTTTTTATGTACCTGACATTTAATTTAATGTATCTCTGGTTATTGTGTAACTTTGCTGCCTCTTGGCCAGGACTCCCTTGAAAAAGAGGTTTTAAATCTTTTTAAATTTTGTTCCTGGTTAAGTAAAGGTTAAATACAATAAAAAGAGAGCTCTCCTAGAAAAGCATTATGGGATTTGCCATCACAGCGTCCCACTGTCGCCATAGACTGTCGCTACCCGACAGCGGCGACTAACAACAAAGATGGCGCAGGCACTGAGCAGTGAAGGAGGAGTTAGGTGACCAACGGGGAGCAAAAAGCAGTGATCATCTGTCCAAACGGTCAGTGAACTGAGTTCACTATAAAGTTCACTATATATTCCCCGCTCTATATAGTGACTGAGGGATTTAGTGGTTAGGGTGGACGTTCAGAAAAAGTAAGCTTTTATTAGTGATGCAAACAGCAACTTTTAAACAAAGCGTGCACAGGCCCATTTCTCCTTGTGCACACACGTTTAATAGGCGTTCCCTCTTGGGAGCGGGTGCAGGGTTGTGCATGTGCATTTTTTTTTTAAGTGGAGAGGGCGGGTCTTTTCAAAAATTGCCAAAGTCCTCCACAATACCTTTCACTCCTATTTATTTAGCAGTGTTTGCCTCTTTTTAGACTTTAAATTTAAATTATAATTTTTTTGAGATCGATGATCAACCGATACTTATAAAACTGATCTTTTCCACAGATCTTATCTACCTCTGCAAAGGTCTGAAAATCGATGCTCTAAAGTTTTATTTCTATTTCAAAGCAGTCATTTCAGAAGTTTTGATCGTTTCACAGGTACTGATTAATGCTTTTCAGTAAGAAAATATGGAAATATTGTAGGATTCTTGTGATTTTATAACAACTGAGAGGCATGTCAGGCTTTTTAAAGATTAGGAATCGGTGATCGGCCTGAAACCTGCTATCGGTTCTCCTCTATAAAAGAAGATATGCCTCCGTTTCAGAAATGGACCCATACAGGGTTTTATTTAAAAGGCTGATTATTTCTACAGATGGTTTTTGGTTGATTCATGTAGCTGATGTTTCTTTTTCTTTCTCCATTTACATGGTAAAAAATGACGTAATGGTTAAAAAATGTTACACAAGTCTAAGTTTAAACAGAAAAAAAAGAAACATTTCTAAACAAATCCAACAAAATAGTAAATTGCTGCAAATGGAGGGAATGCGAATGCATCCACTTCAGGTGATTTTAGAGCATGGCTGCTGAACGCACCAATTAATCACATGTATCAGCTGATGTCAATACAACAAAGAAATGCTAATATTGGCCAAAAATATCAGTCTGTCTCTGCTTATTTTTTTGGGAAATTTTTTTCTCATGAGGTTCCAGATTCAGCCCACGGGTCTTGAGCATGACCTCTGTGGCGAAGACGTTACCTCACCGCCGTCCTGTTAATGAAGGCATATATTAACCTATGGGGCCAAAATTGTTGCTTTATTATTTACAAATGTGTGTGGAGAGTTGTATATCTGTATCCCGATTTGTGCGTGTGCAGGGGGATTTGAAAATGTGTAAATGAAACTGTAAATGTGTGAGGAGATTTGTGTGTCTGTACAACAATCTGCGGGGTAAGAGAAAAAAAAAACAATCTAGTTAGAAGTACTATAAATAAGGCATTTGCCGAAAAACGGCAAGAAAAATACCAAAAAAAAGTGACGAGCCACCGGAACTGCTGCAACGCAGCCACTGCCACAAATTGAGCTCTACCCTGCTGCAGCCTGCGAGCCTGCGCCCAGGGCAGCAAATCCAGATATTACAGATACAAATCCTTTTACACATTTGTGCATCTCACACGGCAGAAGTGTAGCAAAAATCACGTGTGTAAAGAGAGCCAACCGAGAATCCGCTGGACTTGTAACCAATGATGTGTCTTTTTTTCTGAGTGTTGAAGCGAAAATACTTCGGACACAGTGTCTCTGTGTGTGCTTACAGATTGTTCTACACATTTGCAAATCTTACTACAGATTTGTAAATCTGAATAGAGATTTGTAAACCGCAGTACATATTTGTAGATCTGAAGACAGATTTGTGGATTTTTTTTTACACATTTGCAAACCAGATTACACACACACAAATAGTTTTGCACATTTGCAGGTTGTTGTACAGACACACAAATCTCCTCACACATTTACAGATTCATTTACACATTTTCAACTCCCCCTGCACACGCACAAATCGAGATACAGATATACAACTCTCCACACACATTTGTAAATAATAAAGCAACAATTTTGGCCCCATATTAACCCATCATAACTGCAGGGTTTAACAGGCTGCCTCTGACTCACAGGGTCAACTCTGGAAAAATTATCTAGAAATAAGTACAAATTTCTTAAATTAAGTGTATTTACCCTTGATTTGAGTAGGTAAATGAGATGATTTTTACTCTTAAAATAAGATAATTAGATAATATTCACTTGAAATAAGACAATGTAATTGTGTTTTCTTATTTTAAATCTAAATTGTCTTGTTCCATTGGCAAGATGTCTCTTTTATCTCCTCAATTCAAGAACAAATGCACTTATTTTAAGAAAAAATAACTTATCTAGATTTAGATTTTTTTTGCAGTGAATCTGTGAGTTTTCTATTCTTCATTCTCTGAGTTTTAGCTTCGTTTTCTTCGCATCCCACCAGTCTTTGCTCTTAGAAGTGATGAGAAGTGTTTTTCAGGCTCAATGGCATAACGACACAACAATAAGCCCGTAAGCAACATTATCTGGGTGGGCCCCATATGAAGAACAACACTCTGGATTACCCATAATTCCAAGTCATATTGTTAAAAACTAGAATACTCAAATACATCATTATTTTAATATCTCTATTGCGGTTTGGAACATATTATATGAATGTATTTTTTTTACTAACCATCTAATGAACTATACACAGTTAATAACATAGTAATTAAAAGCACCACTGTCTGCTTTGATATTGGTGTCATGTTTCTATGGCAATCAGACGTCCTAGTCCACAATTGCGAAGGGGGCCAACCAGGTGTCAGTGACGGGGCCCCTAAGAGGTCAGGGGCCCGAGAGCTACTTTAGTTTCTGCTTCCGAATATTTAAGCCATTGTTCAGGCTGCAGGATGCGTTTAAAGTTATAAGATTGGATGAGATGAACAAACCTGGATACAGATATTTGGTGTAATACCTTTCTAGGCCACTGGAGGGAGACAAAGAATGTGATGTTTGGGATGTTTGATAGGATTATTCAGAAAAATGAGGAAAGAGCAATATGAGTGGGAAATAGTTTTCATCTGTGACTCATTGATCATTTAAATAAGAAAATAAAAAGATTCCACCTTTTTCTGTTTTTACTAAGAAAATATGTTAATAAAATTTAGTTCCTGCAGCAAAGGCTGTACTTTTAATGACATTAATTTACCAGAATCAGAATTGCTTTATTAATCCCTTGTGATAAATTCTTTATGAATGATATTTAATTAAATGAATATAAATAAAAATCCTTATTGCTATAAAAAATTTTAATGAAAGCTTTTTATACTCCATCCAGTTTCTTTTAAACGAATCATCCTGAAGGTTTTCTATTCAGACTAAAACATGCAGGAAAAACTCTAGAAACTAAAGTCTGAAACATTGTGGGACGTTTAAATGTAAAAAGGTTTACAAAAGGGGAAAAATTTTTATTTTCTAATAATTTTTAAAGATTTTTTTTTATTTATAATTACAGATTAAATATGTGACAGCGAATACGACCTTAACCGTTCACAGATTTTGGCAGTTTGACATTAATCTCCCTGATATCTGAAGCCTAATTTTCATCCTAAATAATGTTTTTATTTTTCGTCCTTTTTTTATTATATTGTCATCTTCTGGTTTTGGTCATTTAGGGGAGGAGGTGGAGAATCACAGGCCTCTATATAAAAAGTTTGAAGTCAGATTTATGAAAATGTAGCTGACTGCTTTTTGATCCAGACGAGTCCAAAATGATGGAGGCAATGGATGAGAAAGAAGACGCCACTGCGGCGTCCAACGCCACTGCGGCGTCCAACGCCACTGCGGCGTCCAACGCCACTGCGGCATCCAACGCCGCTGCAACATCCAACGCCAGTGCAACGTCCAATGTCACTGCGGCATCCAACGTCTCTGCAGCGTCCAACACCACGGAGGAAGGAGAAGAACTCCCTCCAAAGGTGAGAGGTCACGAGAATGCTGGTTTGAAACTGAGACAGAAGGAAAAAAGACGATGAATACCTTAAAAAGCGATCAACAATCCGGTTGGATTTAACCTTTGCTGAGTCGCTCTCTGCGTCATCCGCTGCTCCTCTGTCTCCATGATGCGACGCTGCAGCTACGAGCCCATGTCCTCTGATCCCTCCACAGCTGTGGGCGGGTCTTTGTGTTGTTGTGAGGACAAACCTGACCTGTTTCAGAATCCAAACCACCAACATCTGTCGGACGGCTGTTTCTGTGACCTCTGACCCCTGGACATTTGACAGCAGGGAACAGACACAACAACCCCTGCTGCAGTCTGATCAGGTTCTTGATTGGTTAGCTGTGGCGACCCTTCACAATAAAACTCTGACTTCTAATTTAAACAACTATTTGTTGTTTAAATTAGGGTGCGTTCACAGACAGTTGGAAATTAGAGATTAGAGAGTAGTTGGAGAAAAATAAGATTTTGGTCTGTTTACAGTCAGTTAATGTTAAGTTCATATCTGGGACCCTTGGTTTAAGGTTGGTTTTTTGTCGATGCGTGTCTTCAAAATGCTTTAAAAAACAAATCTGGAAAGTGCGGTGTGCATTTCTTGTAGAACCACCTTCTGCTTTGATTACAGCTGTAAGTCTTTGGTGCATTGTCGCTATGACAGCACAGAGGATGTCCACCATCATCTATTTCTGAGGCTTGGAAAATATTCCAGTGAGTTTAGGTCTGCACTTTGACTAGACCAGGGGTCACCAATAAAAAATGAGCGGGGTCCGAATAAAGAAAATCCTCAACCAGTAAAGGTCCGGAGACATTTTTTTATTATAATCTGTTACTTTAAACAGAATTTAACACTGAAATAAAATCAGGTTTTTATGCATCACTGTTAAACAATGTTAGACTTTTGAAATAAAAACATAAAAATAAAATAAAAATTTTCCATTTTTAAATCTAAAGTGTTTTTTGAAGCAGAGAACAACAATCCTTCAGTTTGGTATATAGACAATTTCCTGATTCACAGAGAAGAAGAAGTGACAAGGATGCTGCAAATGGAAAGTCACTGCCCAGAACTGAGTTGAACAAAAGACAGACAGGTTTGCAAACATTTGAGGCCGAGTTTTGACGCCAATTTTTAAATATTGGTGGTCAATGCAGCGGAGGCATCAAACAACTGTCAGGGAGTAAAGAAATATGGAGTTACAGAGTGATGGGAGAGATGGCACGCTCCAAAAGACAAGAAAAATGCGATTAACACAAGAAAGCTTATCAAAAAATAGCAGAGCTGCAGGTGAGAGTAGGAGTGACAGCGAGCGCAGAGGACGTCTGTGAGTATAAAGGTCTGGTTATCCTCCCGCAGCAGTGTGTCGCAGTGAGCTTGTCGCAGGTATTTTTGATTTGCCCCCAATATTGAAGCGTGGTCTGCGCTATGCTATTCCACGCCACAACACAAGAGGGACAATCACGAACTAGCTGTGGGTCTCGATACGGCAGAGGTGGTGGGAGCAAGTTTGTGCGACAACTGAGGGACATGAGGGTGAAAAAGTGTGAGGATCCAGGTGGAAAAAGGGTCCCAGCGTTCTCACACACCTCGCTCTTCTAGCTGCTCCATCTTCATGAGTCGTTTTCCACAATGGCGGTCATAAAAACAAAACAAGCCGGTAAGGTATCAAACAGCTAAAACACGCAGCGCCATGGTCAGATTTTAGGGAACACTCACGGGTGAACTGTGTGTCACTGGATGCCCGTATACACGCTTCAAAATAAATAAAAAATCTGCTTCATGCCTGCGACAAGCTAACTGCGACACGCTGCTGCAGGAGTATACACAGCCCTAAACCTCATGCAGGTTTGTGAGACGTTCAGGAGCAAAGTTCAGATTGCATTTGAGTTGAAGTGTTACGAGATTTCAATTAAATTTCCCCCCTACTGTGGGTTCTTTTTTTTTTTTTTTTTTACTTTTTATTGTTGTTTAATTACACAAATCTTTCAGTGTAATATTAATTCGATGAAATTCTTAGCACTTAAATATGAAATAGTTTATTTCTGTCTTGTTTTTTTTTTCTTCTTATAATTAGTGTGGTCCTATATTGGGGTCAGTACAGTTTGTCAGTCAGAATATTCTGATCCAGATTTCAAGGAATTGTAATCCAGTGAAGGGATGTATAGGCTGATTGACGATTCGTTAGATATGCATGTAAATGTTTGTCAGGGTCAAGTTAATCTGAGTGGCTAATTAGTGGTTAATGGAAACTGTCAGTGACTAAATGCATGACCTGTTTGCCCTCTACAGCTCCCTCTACAGGAGGCAAACAGCAACTGCAACCACACAGAAGAAAGCAAAACGGAGGGTTCAGCTAAGGCTGCAGAAGTCCCTGCAGAACCACAGCAGAGTGAAGGTAAACACTGGATGTGAGGCGTGGACCTTCGTCTGCAGGATTAGCATTTAATGAATCGGGTTTAAACGAGTTTCCTCGTTTCTGAAAGCTGGTGGTCATTTTTCAGAACCTCAGTCTCCAGAGGTCGCCGTCACGCCACAGAAACCCAACGGCGGACCCGTAGTCATTGAAGCCGGCAACAGAAACCTAGCCAGTGAGAAGCTGGAGAGGGTCCGCAAGTGGAGCATCAGTAAATACAAGGTGGGCGGAGCTTAAAGTAGCAGGTTTATCCTAGGATAGCAGGTCTGGTTGCTAGCGACGTCTCCTCTGTTGCAGTTTACCCGGCAAGCTCTGGCTGAGAAGCTGGGCAGAGGCTCCCGTACGGTGGACCTGGACCTGGAGCCGCGCCTGGAGCTGCTGAAGGATGACCGGCAGCGCTACGACAACATGACCAAGCTGGCTCAGACGCTGGCCAGTCAGTTCGCTTACTTCTCTCTCATCGAGAAGGCTCTGGGGGAAACCTTCAACGAACTCAGCTTCAAATCCAAGAACCTCCATGTGAGTCCTAAAAAAAATAAAACACATCCTCCTCATCATCGCCACCCTGACTCAGTCAGATTTACCGGGCTAAACTTCACGTAACGTGTCTGCAGGTGGAGTTTGGCATGAACGCCGAGGCCCAGAAGTTTCTGTCCAAGAGCACCGACACTCTCACCTCGGCCATCAACTCCTTCACCTCTGACATGGACACGCTGGTGAACAAAACCATCGAGGACACCATGATCAGCGCCAAACAATACGAGGTTGCCAGGTGGGTGGAGCCTATACACACACCGGATCCTTACTCTCAGCTTTCACAGCAAAGAAGCAAAGAGGAGGATCTGTTCCTACAGAATAATGGGCTGAACATGAGGGCATGCTGGGAAATGTAGTGCATAAGGAAGGAGTATGATAATGTAGTGTGAGCAGCATTTCCACAGAGTCAACAGGATTTCTTTTTAGTTTGATGTAGAAGCTTTATGATATGAACAAACAGGGGTGGATTTACCAATGGGGATAACCAGGCAGTTGCCAAGGGCCCCAAGTTCTTGGGGGCCCATTAAAACTCCTTTTACATGGTTAATAAAGCTACGCTGGAGAAGATTTTCTGTCATCCACATCATAGTCATTCCAAAAAAGTAAAAAAAACGTTTTCCCTTTTTTGGTATTAATACAACTATTCCTTATTTGTGATCAAAATTTTGTTTTTTGATAAAATTGCTTTAGCTAAGATGCCATTAGAAGGCTAACCTGACTCCCCCAGATGGATTTGCTCCGCATACCCATCTGGAAACCTTCGGTTGAAGTAATTTTGGGAAGCGGCGAAAATACTGGTTAGCTGATTGGCCTATGTTGGTGATAGACGGGCCAAATAAACCAATCAGATCAACGAAGCATATGAAGTAACAGAGCGACAACGAAGAGGAGCCAATTGATAGATCAAACTCTTGCCGAAACCAGTCGGGAGAAGAGCAAAAACATCTTTTCCTCTGAGAAAAGCCTCCAGAGCAGTGTTTTGCTCTTCTTTCAGTGAAGAAATACTCTGTAATTCCCATAAAACTTGCTCGATAGCCACGCTAACGCTAGTTTCATCGGTTGAAGCCGCCATGTTCTTTAGACTGAACTGTCGCGCTTCTCGTTGCGACACATCTCAACCCGCCTCAAAGCCAACACTGATTGGACGTTCGTTTGGTGAACGGCTCCAAATTTTCTTTAACGGAGAGTCTCCAGACTGATTAGCGAGTGAAATCTTGAAAGCTCGCGAGATCAGGACGGTCTCACGAGGCTATTAGAAGGCTTCAGTGTCCACCATATTGGATCAGTCCGTTTCCTGCATATATTCAGAAGGGTCCAAACAGACAGCTGCAAACCATTTGGAAACTGTGCGGAGAGCAGTGTTGCCAACTTGGCAATTTTGTTGCTATTTTAGCGACTTTTTAGACCCCTCAGCACTTTTATTTAAAAAAAGCGGCTAGCGCCAAATCTAGCAACTTTTTTCTGCTACTGGAGACCTTGGCGACAACAAATAAAAGCACCGAACTCTGCTCTCCAGAGCAAGTAGATTGGTAACCCCGCCTCCTGCTCTCCTCTATCTTGTCTGCTGTCATGATTCATGCAGCTATTATTTCATTCAAATGAAAAATGGAGAACAGATAAAAGCAGATCATGGCTTGTCTGCAGTGAAAAGAAGGACTGGGTTATTTAGTTTTGCCTTTTTGGAAACACAGGAATGAGCAATCAGCTACTGTAACTTAGAATGGGCTTAGTGATTGGAAAAAAAATCTTTCATTCCTTGTGAGACAGCATGAAATGTCAGCTGAGCACATTGCCAATATGAAAAGAACAAGGGACAAAAGAAAACAGAGAGGAAAACAACAAGAAAAGGGATAAGAAGAGAAGGACAAAAGGTAAAAAACATAATCTATGTCTATTCTATTAAATTTCTCTATCTGTATAATGGGTCTGTTTTATGTGTTGTCTTCTCAATTCAGAATACCTCCTACCTGTCTTTGCCTAGGGCCCCAAAAATCTTAAATCCGCCCCTGGTAACAAAGGCAGATTTATTCAAACATGTCAATGAGCTGGTAAGGCAAAGCGATTGGACGAATCTATAGACTGTCAACCATCAACTTCAATATTGTTAGTTTCTGTTTTTTTTACGGTGATTTAGTTTTTTGGGTCTAATGCTGTTTTTAATGTTACACACAAACTCCTTCTGTTGAGTTTTCTTTCTCCAGTGAGTTTTCAACTTAAACGTAAGACGGAAAGAAAGAACAGATCTGAACCAGCGACAGGCTGTTTTTACTGTTTTTTTTTTTTTTTTTCTTACTGTGTTTACAGGTGGCTCCGTCTGTTAGCGGTTTTATTTCATCACAACAAATACAAAATAAAAGAGTAAAACATGAGAATTCTCTCTTCCAGTGGACCCGTTTGCTTCCCATAAAAAAAAAAAAAAATCTCTGCCCCAGTTTTCAGTCTCTTCAGCCCTGCACATTCAGATAAACGTATTACGGTTAACAAAATAACTATTATATCTCATAACACAGTCAGAATAGCTGAAAAAGAGGAAACTATTTCCACTGAACCAAAGTTCTACATTTTTGACAAGAAAACAAGCATGTTGACCTCATTGTTATATATTAGCAGCAGTGCAGAAGATGCCCTCTGAGGGGGCGCTTCTCTCTACTCACAGGCCAAAAGGAAATATTATTTAAAAAAAATGACAAAGGACTTTATTTCCTCACTCATTAAATGTACAAAGCTGATGTTTTTAGAAACATTTTTAAATAAAGCTATGCACTTTACAAAACAGATTAAATTACCTTATAAACCTATGATAGTTACTTGTTATCAAATGTAAAAAATATAATTATATAGCCTAAAATTCAAATTTATAGCAACCAATTATTTATTCCTGTTACAGTAGATCAGTGGTTCCCCAAACCTTTCTTGCTTGGTCTCCCTTTGATTTAAGTGTTCACTACCCCTCCAACCAATCATTTCCATGTCTGACCAAAGAAAATTTTACTGCAGTAAAACATTGCAATAGAATAAACTAAAATCTCCTTTAAATTGCCAAACTACCACTTTCAAAGACCTGAGTGAAGTTAGCCCCCCACCCTCTTCAAATTAGACAAAATTGGTGTCTAACGTTTGTGCTGGTTTGTGCAGCAAAAATGTTTGTTTGTTCCGCTATCGTTTTTTTACAGGTTAAAATGATATAATCATGGGTTAGCAACTTATATGGTTGACCTTTGATGACATCTAGAAAACATTTCTTTATATCTTTAAAATGATAGCGGCACAAACAAAAATTTTTGCTGCACAAACGTTTGACACCAATTTTGTCTAATTTGAAAAAGGTGGGGGGGCTGGTTGACCTTTTGACCTTTACATTTTCATTAATATCTTCAAAGCCAAAGCAGCACAAATGAAAATTTTTGCTGCACAAACCAGCACAAACGGAGCTGAGTTCATTGACACCCATTTCCTCTGATTTGAAGAAGGTAGGGGGGCTGGTTGACCTTTCATGACCTCTAGAAATATTTCTTTATATCTTTAAAACAATAGCGGCACAAACGAAATTTTTTTCGGCACAAACCAGCACAAACGTCTGACACTAATTTTGTCTGATTTCAAGAAGGTGGGGGGGGGCAACTTCACTCGGGTCTTTCAAAGAGGAATTATTTTTAGTTTAATTATCTATTCCATGGTGTGTCAGAATTCCAAATTGCTATCAGTGTGTATAGTTTTAATTTCATCTTAAAATTTGTGGTTTATGGAGTTATTTTGTACTATTCTCCTCCTGCAATTACATTAAGTTCCCCCTAGGGGGAGGTGCCCCCTCTTTGGGAACATATTTTTAATGTAGGATTATGTAGGCACTGTAGGGATAAACATCAATTTATAACACGTTCAACACTGTGAGATTATTAATGGCTTAAATTTTTTGTTTGAGACTATTCCTTTAAGACTTTTTCGGCTTGTTTACATGTGGTGAGCATAACTGGTGGAAACTTTATCTGGAAAACTAAAATGACTTGGCAGGTTTACTCAATCCTTCGCCACTGATGTCTGTTGAGGAGCTGTTTAGAAACGTAACGTTTGTGCTCCTTTATCCCACCGTGTCAACCCTCTGACGTCCAGGATCGAGTACGATGCGTACCGAGTGGACCTGGAGGAGCTGAACATGGGCCCACGGGACGCCAACACCCTGCCTAAACTGGAACAGGCCCAGAAAACCTTCCAGGGCCAGAGGGAGCGGTACCAGAAGGTCCGAGACGATCTGTCCGTCAAAGTCAAGCTGCTGGAGGAGAACAGGGTGAGAGGGTTATGGCCTGATGGACAAATACAGTCACTCTACCTGTTTTATTGTTTATTTAATGTGACGGGATTCAAATTAAGCAACAGACCTGACCTCTACCTCCTCATCTGTCTGTCAGGTGAAAGTCCTCCACAACCAGCTGTGGCTGCTCCACAGCGCCGTCGCCGCCCACTGCATGTCCTGCCACAGTTTTCTGGAGAAAAACATGGAGCAGGCAGTGGAACACCTCAACAACTCTACTGAGGAGGCCCCCTCCTGGCTGGAGGAGAGTTGACGCTCTGTGGGATCAGTTTAAGTGACTTTAAGAGGGGTGCAAAAGGCTCTGGTGGCTTAATGCTCTGGACGCTGTTAGTTTGAAGAAAAGTAATTTATTTCTGGGTCAATGGGACATTTGGGTAATTGTAAAATTAAAAGTTCTTGATTTTTGAAATATTTAAGAATGTATTTTGTGAAGAAAGCGGAGCGTTGTTGAAAACACGGCCCTCTTTGTTTCCTGGATCCGTCTCGCTGCGTCGTTCACTGATTCCACCTAATCCTTTGTGAGGCACTAAGCTTTTCTTTGAACTTTAAAAATCTGCTGCCGCTGCAGTCAGAAACTCACAAAAGGTCCCTGAAAAACACAGCTGGAAAACAAGTCGAGAGTGGATTAGTGGATCTGAATCCTCAGCCGATTAAAGCCCGCCCTTCTGTTTGCGTTTCCCTTATTGGAAAACTAAACATTCACACAGAATTAATTTGCTACTTTTACCTCTTTAAAAAAAAACAGAAATACAGCTTTTAAAAAATTAACCCAAAAGGAGAAAAGCCATTCAAAGTATATGAATAAATGATGATAGAGGGAAATTATATTAATCCTGAGCGGAAACACAAGGGAAGTAAATGTTCTGTTAGGAAATATCAGAACCTGTGAATCCAACTTCTCAGCTTTAAAACCTTTTTCTTTTTGACCACTAGTGGTTTATTTTATACCAACTCTTAATGTACAGTGGATTAAAGCCATATCTCAGCTGGACTTCTTTGATGCCAAAGTTTTCAGGTTTATTTTCAACTCGCTAGGATCAGATTTAGCATCGCTAGCGCTCATCTAAGTGGACCAAAGACTAAAATCTATCTTTTTGGACGTCTCAATTCTTGAATATCTTCTTCTGACATCCACCAGAAGAAACATTGCTGCAGGATTTTCCACAATGTTTTATAATATATCAATACTTTTTTTTGTATCCACTTTCTTGAAGCTTTTCTACTTCAATGTTTCAATGTGCCAAATCTTATCGATAAATCTCTTTAACCATCAGAAAACTGCACAGCTTCTCGCACCTTTAATAATCATTAGATGTAAGTTTGAAAAGTTTATTTTCTTTATTTGTTCTAGATTAGTTTATCTGGTCTAATATTAAAAAGATGCAGGTGATTATTTGCTACAAACCAAAAATCGGACCAAAAATTTCACTATACGCTGACGATGTTACCGTCTTTGTAGCTTGATAAAGGTTTACTTTAACAGCGGTTTTCCATATAATTGGGAGAAATAATTTCTTTCTAATGTTTCATTAGACAATCTATTAACTTAGTAGGGGAAAATGAAGAGTTTATGCCTTGAGGTTAGGTAGGCCTTCCCTGGATGAAGCCCCTTTTATGGGTTTTGTGAATTATAAGAATGGTTGGTTTGCAGCAAATTTTGAAAACTTTTTTTTAGAGTTTAGACAATCCAACTGCTGCCATAACTACAGCATGTTTGTTTTTGTCTTAAAAACAAAACCAGTGTGAGTGGTTTTGTTCAGTTACCCAGCAGGACACTTTAGGAGCCTCTTCCAGCAAAGATCCCAACCAGCTTACAGTTGCACCATGGCCTTGGTGATCTAACACAATTCTCTTTTCGACATTGCTTAAAGTTTGGCTCAGAGCTTGGTATACTGTTCATTTCAACACTCTAGCTTCAAGTTTCAGGAGACTGAAGCGCCCCTTGCACCATTAAGGACGTGTTTTAGAAACTCTGTGGATCTCTCCTGCTCTAAACTACATGATAAAATCCCCACTATATCCTTATGTGCTAGAAAATGTCACCAATGACTCTTCAAACACTGTCCACATTCAGGTGTTTCTATCGTTTTGTAATAATATGATGGCCCCCCCTTGGCTTTCTCATACAGTCACACTCTGCTTGGTAAATGGCTTTACAAGGCTTTCTCTGTTTGGGAATATATTGTTGTTTTATTTTCTTAAGACCAGGATGTTATCTGAGCAATTTTTCTTTACTTAAACCTTTGAAAGGTTCGCTGAAAAACTGTGCTTTATATGTCTGGGACCAAATGGAGACTCGAATATTTATGATTTATGTTAAAAGTTAAGGTTTATTTAAATTGTTTTGCAATCTAAGTTGTTTTGCTTATTCAGTTGATTTCAAACTTTTCTTGTTGTTTCTGTATTCATATGAATGTTATTCCATTTTTTTTCTGGTTTACCACAAAAAAACTACCATCTATGCAACGACTGTGGATCTTTTTGTGCAATAAAGTTCCAGCTTAGTGATGCTTAAGCTGCCAGTTTCTGACACCGAGCTGCCTTAAATAAATGGCACCTTATAGACGAGATTAGATTAGATTTATAGGTTATAAAGGTGCAGTCAGAGAGGGAATCTGGCAGATTTAAACTGCTTGATTCTATTTTTTATATAATAAAATGTTGTAAATCCCAAAGATTTTCTGGAATATTTTGTCATTGGTTGATCTTCTTACATACTTGCTTCAGTATAAATCACTTTTCAAATCAAACTGGGGGTTTGTTTGTCTTTCTTTGACACCTGGACTTATTTTGCATTACATTTTTTGGTGAAATGTTGATAAAGATATTTTTGAACAAATTATAATATTTTGTCTTTTTTTTATTAAACCTTAGGGTTGAATCTTTTAAGTTTTTCATCATGTCTGCTTTTTAAAACATGCATAAAAAGACATCTGTGTGGCACATTTCTGTTGTTTCCCTTAATCTCAGCTTTTTAAAGGGTTCATCAGGGTTATTGTTTAACTGGTTGAAGCAGCTGATCCGTCTGTTTGCTTTGGTATTTTACCCTGATAGGGGTTTTCATCCGGGTAATTTAATTTTTTCCAAAACAGTTTTGCAGCATCGACAGCAAGGATGGTTGTTTTAAGGGATTTCTAGCATAAGCTGTTGATGCATGTATCATTTCCTGGATACACTTAGCAGTAAGATATAAAAGAAAGGAGACAAGAATGCACCATTTTCGGGTATTGATGTGTTTATCCTGCTAAATGCACTTTTTCCATCAGCTGCATTATAATGTTAAACTTAGCTGTTAATCTCACTGGTTTTCAGGTACTTTCCTCTATCATACAGTTTGGGTTTTCCTCCTCATCCTAGCTTTCACTTTGACGTCTAAACTGCACTGCGAAGAAAAAAAAATCAAAAATCTTTTGGTGTGAAAATGGGAACCTACTTTCCTGAAAGTGGCTAAATAAATGCAAACACCCCCTCCTGTTTCCTAGAAGTCAAGGATCATTTAAGGAGGTTCCAATTTTCCCAAACTGTTACGTTTGATTGAGAGTGAAATAGATTTGCTTTAACAGTATTTCCATTTGCTCTGTGCTAACAGCTCCCTTTAGATGTTAAAGCAGTTTTACAGGGCTGCCATGATAAACTGTTTACTCTTAGGGAAGAAAAACTTCACAGAGAGGTGGATCTAAAAAATAAATGACTTTCTTTTGTGACAACTATTTGAATCTCTTACAATTTAATCATTATTCCTAATCAAATGTTCATCATTTGTTCTACATCTAAAGATATTAGTGCTGTTAATCTTGTTTCTTCCAAAAAAACAAAACAAGAAATATATATATGAAATATAGGTTTAAAATCACATTATAATACAACACCATGAAGAAAATAATATATCTAACATTGTCTAAATCTGTCCTTTTGGTCTCCGGTGGGGAAAGCTGGCGTCTGAATACAGTAATTATAGGGGAGGTGGGGGCTCCATTCTACAGTACATTACAGAGACAAACAGTCAGTAGTGGTCAACATTAGTACTTGAGTAAAAGTATCGATACTCATAGTCAATCTTACTTAACTACAAGTAAAATTTACTTAATCAAAAATCCACTCAAGTTAAGTTATTGAAATACTCACTGTTGAAAATGCTTAAGTATTTAAAAGTACATGCATTTAAAGCTACAGTGTGTAATTTTCAGCGACATCTAACGTCCAGACTGCAGACCGCAGCAACATGAACATCTCCCCCCCACCGCTTCTCCCCCCCAACAGTACGGCGAGCGTTACGGGACAAAATGTCTTCCACGACGTCCGCATCACCTACCTTCTCAAGTGATGAGGTTTGTTTACATAGATAATTTTACAGATAGTATTTCATTAGTCTGTGTAGGGTATAGATTTCATGTAGACTTAAGATAATAAATATACCCGTAATGGGCGATCTCGCAATCACTAGTTTGTTGGCTCTGCACTGCCGTAGCGCAAAGATGTCTGCCTCCATGGCTGCGAGACCCGCTCCTATGTAATTATAAATAACGTATTCTAAGGCAACGCAAATATTAAGGTTAAGAGGCTGAGCTCGTAGATGATGATAAATAACATATTTATGTATAATATATTACATTTCTGACTCTATATCCCTGTAATTATTACACACTGTAGCTTTAATAGTACTGAAGTAATTAATAATAAGAATTAAGTTTTTGAATATGAGTACATTTCTGTATATTTTTCAGATTAATTTTAAAGAACCTTGTAATTTTCAGAAACAGCCTGATGAATTCATACATAGAACCTACTGCAGATTCATCACCTCCTGGAAAGAACTTCAGCATAAAAGCGTCCCAAAAAATAAGGGCAGTTATTTTGATTATAACTTTGTATTTGGAAACACAAAAAAGGAAAACAGGAGTGTCCCAATCCTCCTCACACTTCACTATAAGATAGAGGGTTAAGGTTTAATCCATTACCACAAATAACCGCAATCCTACTAAACAACTTGGCCACATGGCAACAATTACCGCCTTAATAACATTCTAAACTACTAATATCTGCTCTGAGTTTCTCACATCTGTGGAATGCCCTGCAAATATCTAAAACAATACTGTCCAATTTCACTCCTACAGGGCTGATACGTGTCTTGATCGTTGAAATTGCATTAAAATAAAATAGAAACAGTGGATTACAGAGCTAAGCTGAGCCAAAAGGAACAAGCAACTTCCTAGTAATGTAGTGGAGTAGGAAGGACAATTTTTGACTCTGAAATATATTGGTACCCCCACAAAAAAAGACTCAAGTAAAGTAAAGGGTACTCAAAAAAAGTACTTAAGTACAATAATCAAGTAAATGTACTTTGTTACATTCTACCACTGCAAACAGCCAACTAGAAAGACCCATGCTGGGATTTTAACACAGGACCTTCATATTCTGAGCAACGAGTTTCCATTTATATCACAATGCAGCCCTAAAGATGGTGTATCTGAAGGTAAAAACAGTGAAACTGATCCGTTTTGAGGTTCTGCAGGTTGTTTGTTCACTCCAGAGATTGCTTCCTGCATACTCTGGTTATAATGAGAGGTTATCTGAGCTTTTGTTGCCTTTCCATCATTTTGAACCCGTCTCTCTATTTTCTGACATCAACAAGGTGTTCTTTACGCCCAGAACAGCTGCTCTCTGGATGTCTTCTCTTTGTCTGACCGTTCAGAAATGCTCGTGTATAGAAATCCCGGCAGATCAGCAATGCCTGACCTGCTCAAACCAGTTCAGTCGCCTACATCTTCACTCTGCCCCACTTTAGTTCTCTGTTTAAACCCCTACACTAAGTGCATTCAGTTAAATGCTGATTTTGTACTTGCATAAACAAAAAATTGTACCTAATAAAGTGGCCGTAGGTGTATATTTGTTTTATCATTAAAGGTCTGAGACACATCCAATGAAAAAGCATCTACATGAATGCCTATAATGACCACAATTAGTCTGCAGTTTGAAGGTCTGGGATAAAAGGGGATTCCAGTGAGTCATCAACATGATTCAGCATTAATCAGTGAACAGAATCTAAAAATAAAACAGCGGTGCCAAACTGGAGGATTTTTTTTAATGTTCCACAAAAACAGAAAAACCAAATCCTAATGCAGGGTTTAAACCCGATGCTGAGCTTCATCAGAGTGTCGTAGAGTTGGTCTGTCTTTAAACACAGGATGAATGCAGTGATTTTTAGACCAAAGCTCTGGTCTGTCTGAGCCTCCGCCGCTCTGATTGCTTTAGAAACAGACGATTATCCACCCGGCAACAACAACAGCCTGCGCCACTGTTTGTCAGTTGGAGTCTGTGAATGACTGCATCCTGGCGCATTTCTTTCAGCACTCCACTGCCTCATTATCTACTTGGAGAAAGTTTGGGACAAAGAGTCACATCAGACCCTAAGAGAAAAGAGTTTATGAAGCTGGCAAGACTAAAAGCCCAATAAACTCATTGTGTCTGTTGACATTATAACCATTATTGGCTTAATTGATTGATTGATTGATTGATTGATTGATTGACTTTATTGATCTCACAGTGGAGAAATGTACTCGTTACATCAGCTCAAATAGTTAAGAAGAAGAATGTGCTAAAGGAGGAAAAAGGTGCACACTGCAAAAACATTCTACAAATGAGTAAAATTGTCTTAAGTTAAGTGTATTCACCTTTAATTCAAGACGGAAAATAAGATGATCTGCCAATGGAATGAGCATTTTTACCCTTGAAATAAGATAATTAGATATTATGCACTTGAAATAAGAGACTTCAGTTGTTCTTTCTTATTTTAAATGTTAATGGTCTTATTCCATTGGCAAAGTGTCTCACTTACCTGCTAAATTTAAGAAAAAATCCACTTATTGTAAGAAAAATTACTAACTTAGATTAACATTTTTTGCAGTGCATGGGATATATATACACTATATACCAGGGCTAACCAATTAAAATTCAGCGGGGTGCGAATAAAGAAAATCATCAACCAGTGAAGGTCTGGAGATATTTTTTAATTAGAATCTGTTACTTTAAAAATAATTTAACACTGAAAGAAAATTAGGTGCATCCATGTTATGATCAATACATTGAATTTCTAAATTAAAAATATATATATATATATATATATATATATATATATATATATATATATATATATATATATATATATATATATATATATATATATATATAAATAAAAAACGTTGTTCTCTACTTCAAAAATAGTTTTTTAAGTTGAGAACAATCCTTCAGTTTAGACAATTTCCTGATTTAGATATTTAATAAAACACCTTAACTGACCTTTTGTTTGTTTTTTCTTTCTTTTTTCTGTCTTAATCAGAGCAGTGGGCTTTATGCTGCCCTGCAAGGCTTTAAACCTGGTTTGAATGGAGACTAAGCCATTCTCAAGCACATATCAAGGAGCTCATTCTGAGCCTGGATCCAGATTTATTTTTGATTCTGTTCATGGTGGAGAATCCTGCTTCACAGCAGCAGGTTGAGCCAAACATCCTCTAAATATGCAGGGTTATCTTTGAGCACGCCATTTCATTTTTCTGTCGCCAGTTCACCACAGTTCTTCCAGCAGTCCACACTTTCTCTGCTTTCTTTTCTCATCGCCTTCTCCTCCGCCCCGGCTTTTCAGGCAAATCAAGTAATCAACAGAGGTGGAAAGAGTACTAAAAAATTGTAATTGAGTAAAAGTATCTTTACTTTGCCTAAATTCTACTCAGAGTAAAAGTAAAATTACCCATCTCAAATTTAACTCAAGTAAAAGTAAAAAATTACTTCATTTAAAATGTAATTTGAGTAAAAGTTACTTAGTTACTTTGAGTTATTTAATGCAAAAAAACGATGAGTCATGAATCGAATTGAGCACAAGGTGTTTTAATGAATTTCAAGGCGTATTTCAGTGGACATCCACACTTGCAAAAGATCAGCTGGGCTAAGGAACATACTTCCTCATAGCACAAGGACAGTCACAGCCTGTACCATAAAGTGCAAACTATTTTCAGTCCTACTGTCCAACAGACAACAACATGATAACTAACTTAGCGCCACATTTTTTCGTAAATTGGATGTTGATGTTTTAAAAGCCGAAAGCTGCGTTTTGCTGGGCAGGCACATGTTGCACTGCATTATCACATTTTTCCCTTTTCTGCATTTGAAAACAAATATTCCTTCCAAATATGGCCGAGGGTTTTTCTGGCTTTTGTCTCCAGAATATGTTTCCTCTTCAGGCCTTTCCTCATCCATACTCCCTATGTTGTGATTAGAAACTGCCATCTTCCGAAGCGCAGCACTGGATTATGAGACAATACAAAGGGTAAATGCAAGGCAGGGCCACATTTAATTTTTTCACCATCAGTATTTTTATTTTTTTGTAACGTGAGGGGGTTTTAAATGTAGCAAAGTAAAACTATTTAGGTTAAAATTTACTCAAGTAAAAGTAAAAATTACATATTTCAAAAACTAGTCAGAAAATTACAAATTACTCATAAAAAGTACTCAATTACAGTAACTTGAGTAAATGTAATTCATTACTTTCCACCCCGGTAATCAAATAGTAATTGCACAGTATCCATTGCACAAGTTATTGCCGTTTTCGTGTTGCATTGTAGAGTCTTGTTGCAGCAGGGATGAATAACCTGCAGTAGCGCTTCTTTTTACAAACAGGGTGTAAAAGTTTTTACCAAAGGTGCTGCTCAGCTCCTCTACAGTTTGGTGCAGAGGGTGGAAGGTGTTGTCCAGCTATTAACTGAGCTATTAACTTCAATATATTTTCATGCTTTTAGTAGTTCTGGACTGAGATATTTTCTTATGTTACTCCATGAAGGGATTCGATCGGTACAGCAGAGGATAGCAGATCTTCTAAAGGTTTTGGTCAGTGAGAGTGGAAGATAAGGGCAGGGAAACCCTGGTGTTTGTTTGGTGCTGTGCCTCCCAGTCATCTGCAGGTGTCAAAGGTTAAGTTCAGTAGCTGTGACACCTTCCTGGAGGGGAGCATGGCTTCAGCTATTGCTGCTAATACCCTCATGCTTTCTTTCTAAGAAGAAACAGTTGCCCTTGTCTTTCTGTATTTTACCCTGACTCTTTCTTAGACGTAGTGATTGAAGGTCTCGTGCTGCAGTCTCCTGTGTGCACTGTTTCACCCTTAAATCTCTGATCCATTTGGTGGAGATTTCTCTCCAAGATCAATGTCTAAAACTCTGATCCTAAAACACCAGTGTCTTGCAACTTTTAGACGTGTCAGTCATGCTTTGGGCATGTTTCTCCTATTGTGCTAATAATAACTGAACTTTATTGATCTCACAGTGGAGAGATTGTCATCTGCATTTCATCCTTCCCCTTGGAAGAAATGCATTTTTCCACAATTTCTACAAATCCATTGTGTGGCGGCCAAGGTCTTTTGCTCAGAGAGCCAGAATGGCAGTGTGTGGAAGTGGGGCTTGAACTCAGAACCAAGCTCTATGCCCTAACCACTAGGCCACTTGTCCCCCACCACTATCAGTGGCTGTTTCTCACCTAGAATATAGAGGATATATCAAAATGATATACAGAATTTGTTGTTTTGTGTGGAAATGCTTTTAAAGCTGGTGTTTCAGCAAGATAAGAAAACTTTTATGGGGCAGATTGTTGGCTCCAGATCACCCAATAGAAAGCATGTGCGGTTAAATGAAACAATGCGGTTCCTGAGGTGAAATCAGGAAATAACTATTGTCAAACATTGCAGACACCTGCAGCACCTGTTCATATGTCACAAATGTTAGTCAGCTTCCTGTACTTATGATGTGAAACTTTCTAATAAACATTATTGATGCAACTAAATATTCTTCAGTGGTTCACATGAAAAAAAGATCTTCTATATATTTATTACCTTCTGGATGTTTTTTGTTTCTGTATATAAACATTAAAATCTCCTCACTGCTTGATAAATGATGAAATATTTAACTGTAGTTGAAATGTTTTGTGGAAGAGGCAAAGCTGGTAAAGCTTATCTGGAGCGAGCAGCCACAGATAGAACCAGAGAGAGAGGCGGACAGAGCGGGGGTTCCCTCCACCTGAGTCAGCGCGCATGCGCGATTCCCTCCTCTGTTGGCTTCTCTCCTGCACGCGCTGTCGGCTCACATCAGACCGTTGGAGAGCTGGAGAGCGCGCGCAGCAGCTGGAAAAGGACCAGGAATCTTTATTCACTTGTTTTTGATTCCACATTTTTTCTGTTTTTTGTCTAGTTCTAAAAGTAAAAAACAGAAGAAAAACGCAACACATTCATAACGGTACGTTTATTATTATTTTTCTTTCTGTTTACTATTTTAAGCGGTTTGTTATATGTTATTTGGAAACAAATATGTTTTATGACACTGAGAGCACAGGTGTTTCAACTTAACATCTAATCCATTTACTGTCATTTTGTATTCCTAAAATTAAACCCATAAAGTTTACTTTAATAACCGTTACAGAAGTGAGACTTTATTTTGAATAATTCGTTTTTTATGCATTTTTAGTTTAATTTTACCAGCCTTCCATCGACTTAGGCCAGTTTATTGTTGCATGTTATCATCATGATTTATAATCGACGCATTTAGTAAATCTCCACATTAATGCTGTTTTATAACAGAGGCGTTGGTAGGATCCTAAACACTGGGGGGCTTAGCCCAACCCAGGAACCTGTTTCCATACATCAGGAATGAATATAAAGCTAATGAATAATTAAATAGTAAATTGTATACCTTTTTTTTTATATGGGATTTTCTAAGTTCAGCAAAACCTCTACTTTTTTGCTTCTTTTTGCTTATTAGACATTTCGTAGCTAGATTACAACACCAAGCAAGTGTTATACATTGAAATGAACAACAAATAAAGCCTTCTGACAATATTTTTCTAATTCTTCAAGAGCTAAATATGAGTTTTGTTCATTTTTTCCATTAACAATTCACCTTACAGTGTAAAAAACAACAACTTAAATCCAACGCTATTGCAAACCATACGCTCTCTCTTTAAACTGGTGTTGGGGCTTGGGCTGATATAGATAATCTGAAGAAATTCTCATATTAATTTGATATAGAAAGGAGGCCACTTTTAAACAATAATTATTTTTTATTCAAGTTTCCTATGTTTATTAAAAAATAAGATTCTTTAAGCCTTTATTTCAAAATGTTCTTTTATTTCTTTTTCTAAATTCATGGTTCTCTCTGTGGATGTGTTTGAGAATTTGAAGTTTTCTTTGAGCTGTAGATTGTGTAAACAGAAGAAGAGCTGGGCTTGAAATCATTAGAGTGCAATTTTTTTATTTTTGCCAATGGCAGCCTTATTGGATTTTTAGCTGTTTTCCACTCATAATTCCAGCTTCACTGCCCTTTTCTGTTCAATTTTACTATTTCAAACTTCCGGATAAAACTGGAACCCATATAGTTTTCATTAAAAATCATTCAATAAGTCAAGCTGACCCATTAAAAGGGTTTTTCTCTATGTGATCAACATTTAAGGTTCTGGTTTCTTGAGTAATCTAACTGAGACTAATGGGTAATCCATTATAGTTTATTTTATTAGAGAATATTTTATTGTTTGTATTAATCTTCAGACTTGAAGGGTAAACAAAGTTGTATGTTTTATTAGTGATGATTGCTGATCTCCAGCCTCTTATTGCTGTTTGTTCAGCTTTGAGGATCAGACTGTTCAGACCTTTAGAAAAGCTTTAGAACACACCTGGGATGTTTGGCCAAGGAGGTGGGCTTTGTTTATCATCCACCATCCATCCATCCATCCATCCATCCATCCATCCATCCATCCATCCATCCGTCCGTCCATCCATCCATCCATCCATCCATCCATCCATCCATCCATCCATCCATCCATCCATCCATCCATCCATCCATCCATCCATCCATCCATCCATCCATCCATCCATCCATCATCCATCCATCCATCCATCCATCCATCCATCATCCATCCATCCATCCATCCATCCATCCATCCATCCATCCATTCAATCATCCATCCATCCATCCATCCATCCATCCATCCATCCATCCATCCATCCATCCATCCATCCATCCATCCATCCATCATCCATCCATCCATCCATCCATCCATGCATCCATCCATCATCCATCCATCCATCCATCCATCCATCCATCCATCCATCCATCCATCCATCCATCCATTCAATCATCCATCCATCCATCCATCCATCCATCCATCCATACATCCATCCATCCATCATCCATCCATCCATCCATCCATCCATCCATTCATTGCTCTAATAATAAACCATCATATGTGCATCTGTTTCTCTCTGCACGGCTCAGTTCTCCCTGCAGCGGGTCTAACTGACCCCCTGATCTGCCCTGAGCTGCGGTGATGACACCGACTGGGGCGACATTTGAAAACAGGAGGCTGTTTGGGGTTGTCTGTCCCTGTCACCATAGTAACCCCAGAGACGAGGGGATGCTCAGCCAGCTCCTTTGCTTGGCTCTATTTGTTTCTGTTATAGAAAAGGATTCAAAGGGGATTTGTTTTCATTTGGCTCATCTTGTCCAACAGGCAGTTTGGATGTTTCTCCTCCTCCATCTAGTTAGGGGGTCCAGCTTCATCCCTCTGAGCTTCATAAACACGTGTTTTTTTGTCAGAAGAGACAGATGCTTTCTGCTCCTCCTCCTCTTCCTCAGGGAGTTTGACTGGTCTTTTCAGAGCAGCAGCACGTCTGTCGCTGTAATTGCTGCTGTGGAAGAAGTTAGGGATGTGTGATGATAATGTTACTGTTTCCTCCTACTGTTGGATCTCTATTAAAATGTATCTTCTTTCTAAGCTGTTATTTCATGGTTTGTCATTGAAATGTTTTATTACCTGCTAAACTTTTGTTTGAAGTTATTTCTCTTTTAATAAAAAAAGGTGTGCTGTGGTGGTGTTTCTGGTTCTGCTCGATCCATCTTGGTTTCTCCTGTAATTGGTTACTGAATATTTAGAGTTTATTATATGATGATAAAATGTGCTTATATACTTGCTTCTGTTGATGCTAATTTATTTTTACATTATTTATTTGTCACTGCTAATGATCAATGCTTTGAAAAACCTGGAAAATATGTATTTAGTTGAGTAGCTAGATGGTCCCTTATAAACTAAATTTGTTATATGAAATTATTTTTCCTATATTCCTGTTTAGTTTGATAGATTTTTTTTTTAAGACTCTTTGCTCTTTGGGCCTTTTATTAAACAGCTTCATCTCTTTAACTGTTCTTTGCAAAGATCCCGGGCATTTTTTGTCGATTCTTTTGAATATAATTAAATTCAAGTACAGATTTAACACACTATCTCATATTTTCCATTTTTTTTCTTACTAAGCATGCTTTATTATTATTCAGCTCTCCTGAATAGTCTTTAGAAAGTCATCAGTTCTGTGTTGGTTTTTTTGTTTTGTTTGTTTTTTGTTCAGTGTTTTATTCATGTTCTTTTTATGATTTGTGCAAGTAATTTTCTCGCTGTGCAGAAGTCTGCAGCAACTACTTTGTATAGTCCAAATATCAACAACATTTACATTGAAAAGCTGACATAGCAAGAGCTGTATTGCATTATGCAAAATTGCATAAAAAAAGTTCTTTAAAAAAAAAGTAATTTTAAGGATTTCCTCTGAATTTTACTGGTGATTTCTTGGCAGAGAGTTAAACTGGTGGATTGGATTTGGTTGTTGGCTCCCTAGATCTTCTCCATGTTTTTATTCTCTATGGCATGGTGGCAGCTTTTGTCCTGTTCTGACTTTAGTTGTGTCGCTCTCACGGCTTCGTGTTCAGCTCACCAACTGGGCAGCCTGTAGTGTTTTCTCTATAACTAACACTTAAACTCGATATAACTGCAAAGAAAAGGTCAAAGTTTGCTGTATGAAGGCAGATAAACACACAGATATATAGAGATATATAATCCCCAACATTTAAATATTTGTGTCATTTTAATGTCATTTGTTTGAATTGCATAATAATAAGTCATTCAAACGATAAACTTAGTGTATTTGATATGAACACACTCAGTAGTGTTCATTTTGAGTAAGTTTATTTATCCTAAATACGTGAACCTGATGTTTTTGTTTTTCAAATAAATAAACTTTATTATATGAATGAATATTGAGCATGTTAGGTTTATTTAAAAGGTTTCTGTAGAATTATTTAAAAAAAATAAGAGTCTTTTTAATATTCTAAATACATTTTGTATGTAAATAAGCTGTTGATTGGATGCTTGAATTCTAATGACCAATTTTAGGTCAGTCGCCTTCGGTGTATTATTATTTTCTTATTTTTAAATTAATTACCAGTTTTAAATCTGCATATGCGAAGAAGTGCTGCCCTGTTGCCATCACAACGTGAGCGTGTGCAATATTTCATGCATGTTTGCGTTAAACTGATTTAAAACTAAGGTGTCTTTGATGCCTGAGTGTTTTTGTGAAGCGATCTTTTATATTTCTTAATTTAGGAATCAAAGCTGCCGTTTATTTTCTAGTTTAGATGTTCAGAATAGGCCTCATTGATCTTATTTACTCAGTTAAAAACAGCTGAGAGTGACAATAATCAGACAGTAATGATCAAAGGTTTCATTTCTCTTATTGTCTTTATTAATTCCTTTCCTTATATGCTCGCATATTGATGATGAATCTTCTATAGTAATTTTTTGGTTTTCCTCCATGTCTCATATTTCCACCTCAACCTGAGCGTTTCATCCATTCTTCCTGCTAACCTGCTGCTGTAATCCTCGTGGCTGAGGCATTTGGAAATCTGTCACCGCTGAAGAAAGTGTGGGAGCTGTAATCTGTTAGACTGCTGAGCAACGAGCAGCCGCCCTAAAAACCTAAAGAAATCACCAAGAGACGCTTAAAAACAGGGGAAAAAAGCACCCAGTGACTCACATTTCACTGTCCATGGCTTCCTCTCTGGTTTCTCTTAACGCTTATTAATCAGCTCCATCAGTGCCAATGGCAATTAGGATTGTTATAACTGTTTATCTGGAAGGTGTTCGGTTGGTTAGCAGAGACTTTCCGTTTAGTAGCCAAAAAAAAAAGCATTTTTGCATCCCCTCTTAAAAATTCTGCAGAAATGTTAAGAATAAACAGGTTCTAAATATTGGTTCAAAGTAGAGATTGGGGCTGGGCAATTAATTGCATTTGCAATAAAATCGATATTTAATAAAATGCATTTTTTAATTAGAGGCATTAAGTTTTAGTCCCATTACACTGAGCAAGATTTTTCCCTCTAGTTCTTTAAGCTGGGCATAAACGGTGCGATTTTTTCAATCG